TTTTTTTGAATGATCTTTTTTTGTTCGTCAAAAATAAAAAGTACAGTCCCCCGAAACTTTTTTCTGGCTAATCTAACCTAACCTAATCATATCTCACTAAGATATATGTAACTAAGGTAACTAATCATATCTATATCATATGTTATAATATAACTAATCATATCTAACTAAGGTATATGTAATAAAGATAAAATAAAATATATACATAATATGAGACATTCTGTATGATAAAAACGAACTCAATACTGTTAATGTATACATTTCACATTTATATTACTGTAACTTAAAAAAAATCTTCAAGATAAAAAATTCTTTATTAAAAAAATTTTTTTCTTAAAACTCAGTTTAACAAATTTCTTAAAATAAGACCTTAAAATTTGGAATATTTTGGAGGGTTTTGTCACCATTCTATACATATAGTGAATTCTTCTCTCTTTTCTCAAATTTTCTCAAATACAATCTTTCTCATAAGAAATAAGAAATCTCGCTTTTTGCACGGAGTATCTCATACGTAAAAATACAAAATGTAATGACCTCAAATATTTTAGATTTCAATTGACTACCGATTAAAAAATAGCGTTACCTATCTTTAGGAGGATTCAATTCGAGATCCGCTTGATCCATCGTGACACCCTTGAAATTCAACTCGTCGTCCGGTCTACCTGTGCCTTCCCACCCCGGCGAGAGACGCACAGGTTCACATCCTGAAACAGGAATTTATCTGTCAATCTCGAAGTGGTCGATTCGATATCACACCTCGCATATCTCTTCTTCGCGAGTATCGATTGACCTGTGCTCGTCGTTAGTACACGTTGCTCTCCATGTACCTCGTTATCGTTACATCGACTAATTCGGCTCTTGCATGCAATATGAAAAAAAGCGAAAAAGAGACGAGGAAAATTTTCGGCGCACACACACACACACATGCCCTTTGTGCGCATCGGAACGATAATTCTGCAGTGTAATGGAGCGCTACAATCGAGCTATCAGTTAAAATCAATTAATCTATTCTGGGAATATAATACGCATGTGAATCAGTCCTTTGACATAATTTACACAGAAAGATAGCGACAACGGATGTGATTAAAAAATGACGTGTGTGCATTTAGCGAAGGAAAGAGAGAATACGTGTGTGGGAATATGTCTACTTTGCGCAATGAATTAACGGCTAATTAATTGCTAATTACCAGCGGACAGAGGATCTTTAAAAGTACTATAGGACGTATTGACACAACTTGTGGAGAAGAGAATTCATTACAGTTCTATCAGAGTCGTAGAATTTAACATGATATACATTTGAGATATCTAGTCAGCTAATATTGACTCAATCAATTAAAAACCTCGGAGAAAGATTCTTAATTGAATTCTGACGTGTCAAAAAGTGGCAGAAAATAGTTTTCGCGGCTGTTTGTCTCACATATTTCTTTTAAATGGAGCGATGTTTTGTTAAGATAGCAATTTTAATGTGAAAAACGCTCGAAGCAATGATGTGTTAATTTTACCAAGGCTTGTGAAAGAGATATGCATTACTATTCGATCATAAATTATTATTGCGTCTGTCACTCGTGAAGGATGTCGACATCGTTGCTCTAGCTTTGTGCAGTAACGTTTGACTATCAGTGGCCATGAAGAACCGCTCTCGTGTTCATGCCAAATCAGCATATTATGTCAATGAAATGAAACCCGTACGCATGAAAGAATGCGATTCCCTTTGATATTTGGTCGTTAAAATATGTATGCCGCGAGAACCGGAATCTTCCTGTGTTCCTCTTTCGCGGCGTTGAAAAATTTACTTCAGACGCAATCATCGCGTGTGGTGAATGATTGATGCACGAAGAGTCGAACCAGTCCAATTCGACAGAGGTGAACACGACACAGGAGTTGCAAGTGGATATATATACACATATATAGATACGTAGATTATTTCTGTACGACCGCATGTCGAACATTTAAGCAATTGTTTCATTTGTCGAGAGACATTTTTTCGTGTATAATAATAACAATAATATAAATAAATATGTAACAATAAAATAAATAGTATAATAATATAAAATTGTATAAAATATATTCTTCGGAATTTTATATTATTATAATATAAATCTGCATATATATACTTCTCAGAAAACTGATGTCTTTATTATAATAATATAATTATTATTATATATATTGATATATATCCTAGAATTTTATATTACATTATTATACCATTTGTTTTACATAAAATTTTGGGAAAATTGTTAATAGCGAAAAATAACATTTCTCACTTGAAATCGTTACAATTGCCACCAGATAAACCTCCAATGAAATGGGCGTTTACGACTGACACGAAATTCAATATGCATAGATGCGAAATTATCCACGATAACATTTCTGAACGGTACAACACATGATATTTTGTGCAGTTTTCAATTAAAGTTTCAGATTGAAGAGTTCTGCTGCATACTTCTATTAAATAATAGATACAAAGTAGGCTATATATGTGCACTTGAGATAACCTGCACTCGAAATATAAGAATCGTTTCTCAAATCTTATCAGTCTTTAGGCTCGAGGCTAATAGAATGAAGATAATAACATGTAAATAACACTGAAAAAACATCTCGACATTTATTGTCGAGAGATGCCCGAGATATACCATAGATTGTGTCTTGTTATCTAAACATTTTGAAACGGATATTGCAAGTTTTTTTTTCACTGCGTATTATCAATTCGAAAATCAGTAGAATATCTGCGTGTATTTGAATTTCTTATTTCCTTACAGAAACTTTTATAAGAAAGAAATGTCTAGAATGTCCAGAATATTTGTGTGTGCATTTAAAACTAATTTTTACTAACTAATTATACTCTAATTTGCATTAAACGTGCGGAGTAGACGTCCCGCTATTCTGAGTTTTGAGCGTTCACGAAGCTTGCAAAAACTAACGCTATCATCTCACACTACCTCGGAAGGAATAGCGCGCAGTAGAAAACGCTACCATCAGTGACATCGTGATAGCGTCTATTAACGCTATCTTGTAGCTTTATGAACAGCTTTTAGCGCTAAATAGCGCTAATAGCGTCTTTCCGTACGCACCTTAAGTAATCATAACTTATCTCAAGTTGCCAGCGATAAGGGCGCAAGAGAAAGAGTTATAGATTATTATGTAATATGCACATGCAACACACACGCAAATCAGAACTAATTACAAACAATCAAAACACGCTAACATCGGATTATTTGGATAGTACAGCGCGAGCCGCTGGAAGAACGGGTAAGTCTGGCGAATTACAAACCGACGCTGCAGCCGCAAATATTTAACCACCAGTGTCAAGGATACTACAGACAGCGAAGGTTGAAGGCTTCGGCCTCAAACTGGTTTAGAGTAAATGTGAAACGGTGGGGAGTAAAGTAAAACATCGAAAAGGAAGGTTACTGGGAAAGAAAGAGAGAGAGAATCGAGTTAGGTTTTTACAGTTAGCCTAGATTTTGTAATATAAAATATAATAATTCTTTCATGGTCGCGGAAATTGCAAGAGGAAAATAATTGATCTTGTGGAATTACAGTATAAAATAATAATGCAAGTTACCTAAAAAAAGATACTTCTGAGAGACAATTCTTATAAAAGTTCTGGACATTTCTTTCTTATAAAAGTTCTGGACATTTCTTTCTTATAAAAGTTTCTGCAAGGAAATTCAAACTTATATAATCACGAAATGAAAGAATCAATTAAAAGTCAATTATGAAAATGAGTGGAAACTTAACAGGACTCACATTTTTGATAATTCTGTGAATTAGAGAAATCTTTGGAAATGAATTAGACAAGCATGAGACAGGACACGCGCGAAAAACTCGATCTCGAATACAAGGCAGCAGCTGCCATGTCCCGATAGGGACAGATATCCATAAAAGAAGAAGATAAAGAAGAGAAGAAGCACGGGAGAGAGGAGGGAGAAGAAAGTCACGTTCCACTAACGGACGCGAGGAGAGGTGGGAGGAATACACGGAAGAGGAAGAGAGATTCGCAGGAGCGAACAGCTCTAGAAAGAGAGACGAAAGCAGTATTCTAAAGTTACCATTACCTTTCGTGGGTACGATGCGAGTCCCATTGGAGTCCTTCAGCAGAGTCTGCTCCTCGGGGCCCGCGCCGAACTCCTTCTTCGTGTAACTGCCCGCCATGTTTCCGCGCGAGAGACTCGACGAGAAAAGCCGCCCTGCAAGAGCCGACAATTCAAATCGGTGTAACAGTCGGTGAACCCGGTGGTGAGTCTCACATCCGCGCCGCCACAGGCGCGAAAACACAAAAGGAGGCGAGACGATCTTACGCGAGGAGTCGTTCACAGATCTGTCATATTACTCGTCGACGGAGGAGAAATTCCCGTGAAACTTCGTCGCGTCTCACAACGTGGTCCAACGGCCGGCCAACGTGTTCGACAACGACTTCGCTCAACTATTGCGCTCAACTGGTGCGAGACCGCCGCACACACTGGGGTTGTCCGAGTGCAGCGGCGTAATGTGAGCGACTCGTTATCGCGAGCGGTTATCGCATTATTCAGCGGGATGTCGACGTCTCGTCTCATTACGTCATTACTCTCCCGAGCAATTTCACGTGTGCGGCGGCAACGGTAGCCTTTCGGCAGGCGGACGAGAGGTCTGCTCGTTTTCGAAGAACCTCTGCACTAGCGCAACGAATTGGAGTGAAACAACAGGTCTGCTAGTTTTCGGAGAGCTTCAGCACCGGTGCAACAAGTTAGAGCGAAACAAGTATACTCTTTTTCACTTTCAACTTATTGCATTGGTTCAGAAGTCCTTCAATAGCAAGTCTAAATATACTTCAATAGCAGGTCTAAATATACTTTCTTTTTCTCGAGAGTTCTATTTTTTGTAGCTGAATTAGCATACACACTTCTGTAACCTAAAAAAAAAACACGTGTATGTAGCTGTGGTTTGATGTGAAAAAGAGAAAAAGAAATGGTGCAAGCCAGTGTAGCCAGGGCCTCTATTTTTTATGACTGCGATGTGATCGCATTTTATGACTGCGTTTCATTGCTGTTCAGCTATTTTATGATACGATTACACCTGCGCAAAGGAACTTACGTACACGCAAAAAATTTCAAGAACACTGACCCGGTTCAGCTACAAAGAACAGACCATTTATCGCACTATAGTGTGCATTAGTTTAGAAGTTTTTTGTAAACGAACGGACCCAAGAACGAAAGAATGCTTTTGCAGGATGTACCTGCTTACACGATCCTAGCTCGAAGAATCCGCTGGGAACGTGATGCTTGGACACTTGGACGATGATCCTCGGCGCGTCTCCGGCGACGTCGGTCGTGCGGAAGAGGAGAAGGTTGATGAAGAAGAAGAGTAAGCTCACGCGCGTTACTCGTCCCTACAGTCTGCGCTTCTCCTCCGCGGTTTTCTTCGTCTCACCTGCAAAGTGCGACCGTAACGACGCGCGTTAGTCCCCAGAATTCACTCGAGCGTGGAGGAGAAGAGTCTCCACGTGGAAAGTGATTTGGGCGGTACTGATGCCACCGCAATCGGAATGCTCGAAATGTCGACAAAGATAACTGGATCATGCCCCGGCTGTACTCTCGACTCTCGTCTGGGCGAGATAACGACCCATCGGATACACCCCACACCAGCCGCGTCACGTTGCGTCTTAATCACGCCGAGATCGAACTCTTCTCACGGCACGATGCAATGCGCGGTCAGGGGTTAGATGCGTACGAGAGCGTGGAGGAGAAGAGAGGACCGGGATGAACTTCGTCGTGGATTGACCGTGTCGAGTACGTACGAGAGCGTGGAACTGACAACGGGACGAAGCTTCGTCGGCGGAACGCGTCCTCGAGCAACTTCAGTCTATTATTGGCGCGATGACCCGCGGCGAACGTTTAAAACGAGAGGAGAGGAAGGAAGGTTCTAGAATCACCGTCGTCCACGCAGCTCAGGAGTGCACCACGTCGTCGTCGTCGTCGTGGAGTCGTTATTCCCACGCGGCCAAAGACAGAAAGCGAGAGACAAGTGAGAGAGAGAGTAATAGTTAGTCAACGATGTCGAGAGCGACGATCCTCGTAGGACGAGATCGCTCGAGATACGACGAGGCGAACTGCGCGACGACGACGACGAGCAGGCGGCACGCGAGCCATACCATGTTACCCGTCCCGCTTAGGTTAGGTCTGGGGGTTGAGAGTTCATCGAGATACGCCTTCTCTCCTCTTCTCCCTCCACCGCGGCCGCTGCGCGCGCGAAGCGAGATGCGCCGAAAAGTGCCGAAAGCGTGAGCCCGTCGCGAGTCGCGCCGATGAATGAAACGATACGACGGCGAGGGACGCGTGCACGTCTTGCAAAGTCACTTCCGGGATCCTGATCGGGATACGTACGCGCCGTTACACTCACACCCTTCGCACGCTCCTGCGAGAGTCACCTCCTTGGCCACTTTTTCCCTCCATTGCGTTTCTTCGACGTTACACTCGCTCGCTTCCTTCGACGAGGTGTGGGAAGTGTAAGAGGTGCAGGTGGAGAGAATGGACCGACTGCACCTCTTTGCACCTGGCGTTGTCCTCGTGGAAGCAAGTGTGCGTGTCTATGTGTTTCGATTTAAATACGGAAATTGCGACTAACGAACACACCGCGTTTGCGGTTTCCATCTATACTGTGTCTGATTAGATCGATGGTGCTTCATGCATATAAAAATAACGCGACGAGAGCGCTGTCAATAATGGTTATCACGGTGGAGCCTGTCCGCGCGTTTCGACAGCTTATTTGTCCAGCTGTGCGACGCGTGTGGAAACAAAACTGAAAAATTGAATAAAAAAAAACGAGATGCACACAGTGTCCCAGAACTCGTGACCTACATTTTGCACGAAAGCTTCGAATTGATTTCAATCCAACTCGATAAATTAATTGCAGGATAATCGTTGTGAAGAGACCAATTTGGTTAGTTTTACGAGAATGTCGATTTCCCAGATGCAACCCTTATAGAAATATACTAAGAATCATTGATAATTACTTATTTTCAGTATTAAAAATACTGGATAATAAGTAATTATCAATGATTCTTAGTATGATATTTCTATAAGGGAAGTGGCCTTTGCGATCTAAATTTGGCTTACCACAAATGAATTATTTCTTCCCATCAATTTGGAGTGAACTAACAAGATTCGTAACACAGAACTTGGTTATCTTCTCTCTCTCTCTTTGTATCAACTTTTCTCTAAATTATTTTTAGAAAATATTTTAGAAAAATATATCATGTTGAAAATTATAGAGTCACTATTACTATTGGTAATGATCATCTTCAATGTTTTTTTGTTGAGGAAAAATTGTACTTAAATTTCTTGATAAAATTAAGGTTGCAAGTTTTAGTATATCCTGTATATCTGAGCTGTGTATGCAAGATAAAATTTTGATAACACGATAGAGAGATAACACACGAGAGGATATATGTGTATATTTGGGTGTATGTATGTTCATATGTATGTATGTAGGTATTTTTCAAAACTACGAGCTCATAAATGTTCATTATGTACAATTTTTTATATATACAAGAAAATGGCAGTTTTACCTATCACATGTCTCTCCTAATCAGTTGCATTTCTCTTTGCGATTCTCTACATCTTCTGTAGCATTAACCCCAGGTCTCACACTGATATCGATTGTTTTTCTCTAAATGCGTGATAAATGCTTCTGCCTCTTCCTTTGTCATTTCACCTGTTTCCTTCGTCAAACTGACGAATTCGTCGCGCACATTGTTTGGCATGTTCTTTGAGTTTCCTGCTAGATAAATGCTGCCATCGTTCTGCAGAAATTGCCAACACAAATCTCTCTGTTGATGTATAACGTGTTGCACATACCTAAAAAATTAAAAAGAATATTAGAAATTAAGTAGGTGCAAAATAAAAATATAATTTTTTTACTTATGACATAGTAATTTGTCACCTTATAGTAATGACTGATATCAGAAAATCTAAAATAATATGCAGAAAATATATAATTAATATTATATGTAATTATAAAAATATATTAAATATATACTATATAATATAAAAATATGTCTGAATATACTGATTCTTATTATTTTGATATTTTGATATTTAAATATGAACACACATATACTCATATAATCTATGTTGAAAAAGTTTAAATGTTCATATTTAAAGACCAAAATAATAAGAATTTTCATAATTAGGTACCTGTTCATGTTCATTAGTATTTCTATTTTACATTATGTGTATATAATATTTATAAGTTATAACATAAATATGTTATAATCTCAAATATATGTATATATATATATATATATATATATATATATAAAATAATAATAATAATAATAATAATAATAAAAGTTTCTATTGATAATGCAATACATGGGACAAAACAGTTTCATAAACCTAACTTCATAATTTGTCTTCTACGACTCACCTAGTGTTTTAGCATACTCACATTTTATGTTCCTGATCCCTGGAGAACGCGCAGAACACCTTCAAGTCCTTCTCTCTCGACAGCCTCTTTAGATCCTCTCTGCAATGATAATCCTTCTCCTTATATCTGCAACCAAAGAAGAGCGCGTAGTCCTTCAAACTCTCGTCAGTCAGCGCTCTTTCCAGGAGCAAGGACCTGAACGGCGCCAATCCCGTGCCGGGGCCGATTAGAATCATCGGCTTGTTCTTCGCGAACCGAAAGGTTCCCTTCTGCAGCCAAAACACCACCTTATCGTTGCTCCTCAAACTAGCCAACCACTTGGAACACAAGCCAAAACGCGGTTCTAGCATCTTCGTTTTGTACTTTACGACTGCCACCAAGATTTCTATCGCGTTCGGAGTAGCCCTCAAGCTCGAAGCGATGCTGTAGGCGCGCGGCTTTATGGGAGACATGATTTCGAAGAGCACCTTCACATTCAGCTTGCTGGTAGTGTGCGGAAAGTCTACCAGGAGCTCTAGAATGTTCCTCCTCGGCCTGTTGATGTAATCGTAGAGTTCTTCTTGGCCGGCCGCACCGCTAAATTCACCAAGTTTTTCTTTCTCCAACTCGTTCTCGCTGATTAGCGACAGGGTGTGCATGGTGGATCGACGTGGCTTGAAGTTTAGGTCCCAATATTGCTCCACGATCTCCCCGAGAGTTAGGCTGCGTTTCAGCACGGAAGGAACCTTTATGTCCTTCTGCGACACTTGTATCACTGTGTCCGGGAAGAGTTTGACGTCGTGCTCGTGAAGAACATCGAAGAAATGTCTGACTTGTTCTATGGAGTTCTTCGATCGAACGTAGACGACGTCGCCCGGTTGGTAACTGATGTCGTCCGCTTGTATATGAATCAGTCTCACGTCCTGGAAATGATCCTCCGACGTGGTTCTTTTATTATCGACTATCGTCCCTATTCGTACTTCATCCTTCACGAGCGCTTCCTCATGAGCGTAGATGTCACCTTGGGATCGGCATAGACTGTTCATAGAACTCAACTGGCCCGTTTCCATCACGGCTATATCGAACCTTTCGATTATCGAGTTCTCCTCGTCGAACTTGTCTTCCACGGAAATGTTGAAGGTGTTCCCGACCTCATCCCAGAGTTTTTTAACCCAGGGATCAATAACGGCGTCTATTCCTAAGTCATGCTGGTCATCTGCGAGACCAACCGGCAACAATTCCTTGCCGCCAAGCTGTGCCAGCCGCCTGTTTAGCTTCTTCGCGGCAAAGTTGAATTTCTGATAAGAGCTATCGCCTAGACCTAGCACACCATATGCTAGATCCTGTAGCATGTTTGTTGCAAGATTCTTCCACAACAACAGCCGCCAGAATCGTTGCATGTTAGCTGGAGGATCACCTTGTCCTGTGGTGGCCACCACAAATATGACAAGCTGATCAGAAGTAAGACTGTGCATGTCATAGTCTTCTAGAGAGGAAACAGTGCTTCGTAACCCTTTTCTACAAAATATAAAATAGAATATTACTTATTTTCTGTAAAATATAGGAAAAGAAAATTAAAGATACACTAGATGAATAATTTTTGTTTAAAGGACAGTGTTAAGAAAAAAAGAAAGTAGTAACAGTTTTATCTTCCTAAAAAAGGAGAGGTAAGATCTTAGTAAACATTATTCAACATCAATGTTATAATTTCTCACTCAGCAATATAAGTGTAATATATGTTTTACAAAACAGTTACATTATTGAGTGAGACATAATATTGATGTTTATTGGGATAAAGAGGAAGAGAAAAATAAGGCATATGAGAATGAAATATGGATGCTATACCATCTAACATATCAATTTGTTTTTATCTGCACATTTCTCACAACTGTTGATTAATCTAAGCAAGAATATGTTTACAACCAATGTGACATTTTGATTGCTTGATGTATAAGTTTGTAAAAAAGGATTATTCGCTTCCATGTGATCAGTAGAATAGTAAACATTTTGAAAGAGGTAAGAGATTATACAATTACTTTTGTAAAGATAAATAACTGCAATTATAAACAAATTTGAATCCATGTAGTTAAATTGTCTGCCTCCCCATATGGAGTCGTATGTAAGTGGATAACTCTTATTGATACAAATTTAACTACAGATCAAAATCAGTTCTGATCATAATTAATTACAATTATGGATCTTTACAAAATTAATTGTATAATTTCTTACCTCTCTTAGAACTTTTACTTTTCCTCTATTAAAGATATATAATACATGTCCTATGGAAAAAAATAATCCTTTCTTAAAGACGCGTATACAAAACGTCAAACTGTCAAAATGTTATACTGACTTATTAAATTCCTGTTTACTAGATTACAACTGTCATGAGAAGTATGTAGCTAGAGATGGATGCGACTGTTTAAAATTTTTAGAGTATTAATCCAGTGAATGGTATAGCATCCATGCGTTCGAGTGTACAAGAAAGATGAAGAATAAAACGGCAATGAGACTACAATTGAAGATAAAGATAACAAGGAGGAAGAGAAGGAGTAGGTTCATGCCAAAAGAACAATAACAAAACCTTTTGGCACTCTTCCAGATTTGCTCGGCGACGTCTTGAGCAGTTCCGGTCTCGCTTCCGTACAACACACGTACAACTACTGCATTATCCAGCTTCTTCATTGCAAATTTTTTCGGGATGGCTCAGGATGAGTTCCAACTTTCGCCGCGACGAACCTAACCTAATCGCGGCGAGTGACACGTTCCAGCTGATCGTCAATGAAGTTAGTATATATAGATCCGTTCTTGTTCTGACCGCATATTCTGCACTTTCAAATCGCAATGTGCGACATTCCCGCACTCTGAAAGAGGCGAAGGATTCCTCCGATCCTTCCGGTCGCGACGTGCAGAAAATGCAACTAGGTGTAACAGAGTGCAGGTAAAAAGTACGGCATATAACCTATCGGACGACAACGCGGGAAACCACGTCTTGGCTCTCACGATAGCTCGTCTTGCCGCGAATCTCGTTCTTGACGAAATGTCAAGGATAAATGTCTAGGCTAAGTGCTCGAACGGTCACCTGGCGGTGGGCCCGGGATATTTATAAACAAAAAACAGCTTTGCGCGCGCGAATGAGCGAGTCGACCATTTCTTTCTTCCTCTCAATCCCTCCATCACCACTTCGTCCTTTCGTTCTCATTGTGAGATCAGTCTGGATCAGTCGATCGAATAGTTGCGAGAAAAGAGGCAAGATACAGAGTCAGAATTGTGAAAATATTAATTAAAAATTCTTCTTAATTTAATAACTTATTTGAATGTTTCAACTAATTAAAGACTGATTCAAGCAAAATCAACTCAGAAATGTTTTGACTATTGATATGAGCAAATTTAATCGATTCAATTGAAGGTTGCTTGGTGACGATTGATATGCTCAGTATTCTTTTCAACGCAGCTTTTTTTCCCGGGAAACGAATAATCTCGAGTAATCGCTCTGAGAAATAATGTGGCTTCATGACACATTTTCTCTTTACTCTTTTCAACTTGCGATTCAGGATAATAAACTTATACTCTGAAGTTCAATTATGCTTATCATTCATACCTGCTTGCCTATAACCTTAAAAAAATTTGAAACAATTTTCACTGAGCTTTAATCCTTATTTCTAATCGTCTTCTCCGGCTGTAAGTCGCGCGTTGGAGGTTAGGTCGGACACGCGCGCGCGCGCAAGCTCGCGTGACGTAACGGTGCGGGACGTCGAAGGAGCGATCCGTCGGTTGGCAACATTGGCGTCCCGTCTGTTTGCGGATGACTGTCAAAACCTACTTTCGCGAGAGAGGAGCCGCGAGATCCTCGTCGTCGTTGCCGTCGTCGCTGCCGCTCGCTCTCTCGTCGTCCGCTCGTCCGTTCGCCGTCCGTGCACGTGTCCACCGGGTCCGACGCGAGGGAAGGAAGAAAGGAAGTGGCACCATGAGCGCGCGTGAATACTTGTAGGAGAATGTCGTGGCGCGTGCCGTGACAACTCGCCGTCTTCTCGAGTGAAAAGAGAGATAGAGAGGGAGAGAGAGAGAGACGTCGCCGCCGTCGCCGTCATCGTCGTCGACGGCCAGTCCGTCGTCGCCCACCGTCACCGCCGTCATCGCTTCCCTCCGCCGTGTCCCTCTTTGCCCGCTCGCGGATTCTCCATCGTGGAGGCCTCGCTTCGGATCAGCCTCGCAGGATCAACTACGAAGGTGCTGGAATCCTCGACTTGGAGACTTCGTGCGCGGAGTCGACGGCCGCGCGCGAGTCGTGCGTCGCGCGGTACAGCTACCTGCACTCTCTCTCTCTCTCTCATTCTCTCTGCTTACAAAGCAGTGTGATCGCGTGACTGACGACTGAATGATCGTGTGCTTCCACGACTGGTGTCGGTTTCAAGGTCCTCTCTCTCATGGGGCCGCATACTCGAGCGTGACGATAGCTTTTTCGACAGGCAGACGGGCCGGACACTTAGGTGACCTTAGTTCCTAACACCTGAGAGGTAGCGCGCGCGCACACACGCGCGCTTCCGGGCCGACTTCCGCAGGTAGCGGCGTCTCCGCGAACGCGCGGGACTCCTGGACAGTGTTCCTTCACGAGGCACGGGCGCAAGACAGGTCAGTCAGTCAGACGGACAGGCGTGATCGCTGTCACGCGTTCCGCGGATTTCCTCGCTTCTGCGAGGTGTAGCTTAATGGTTGGCGCGGATCCGCCGTAGCTGTCTCGCGAACATTCGAATGTTCGAGGTGTAGCTCGCGAAGTGTGCCAAAAGTGCAGCTGAATAATAAGCAGTGGGTCTATGGATAATATTTATATTTAGATTCCAACGTACAATTATACGTTAGATTCGATCAGTATAGCTGCTATTAGACCTGTTCTTTTTAGCTGAATTTTTAGTGCTGCATTAGAAGTTTGCTTCTGTTCCTTCAACTAAATAGGTTATATACCTATTTCATTTCAAAGACAAAAGTACAGTCTAGTTCGGTTGGAAAAAATGGACCTATTTTTATCAGGCTGTTTATCTTGATGGTCTGTTATGCGAATTCAAATTTTAATAAAAAGTTTTCCCAAAAAAAAAAGAATTCCCACACACAGAGATGAAATTGAGCTCACCTGGATAGCACAGATGTCTAAAAGTCATCTTGGAGGTATCTAAAGGACATTTTGATTGTTTTAGGGCAGTTTTTCAACACATACAGCAGGTCGAACTCTCTCTCTCTCCTTCAGTTTACTCTTTTTTGATAAATATTTGAAAGTTAACTTGTCGAGTTGAAACTTCTATGTGACATTTGTATCTGTAATCGTGATTCAATTGAAAAACTCTCATTTAACTTTAGATTCAAATTGTAATATCTTACTTGGAATGAATTTTGTGTAATAGTTATTAATATGGGCCTTAAACATCCCTCCTAACTTTGTGTTAATAGTTGTCAAATTCATATTTTTATTCAGAATTAGATCCAAGTTCTTTCCAATTGAATTATGATACGTGATATTTATATCTGTGTATGCGATTCAACAGAAAAACTATCATCTAACTCTGAATTCAAATCTGAGTATCTTACTTGAAACGAGCTTCAAGTAACAGTTATAAAGACCTTAGATATCAATCTAAGACTGTATATACATATATGTATATATTTTTTTTAACAGTTGTCAACTAAAACTTATATGAGATACTCAGATTTTAATTCAAAGTTAGATCTTCAAAGTTAGATTTTTATTTGAATCGCTTAATACATCTGACATTTTATGTCTAGATTAATAGTTGTTATTTGAAATTTATCTCATGTAAAATATCTAAATTTTCATTCAAAGTTAGATACAAATATTTTAATTGATTTATAACATTTATATTTGTAATCACAGACTGGAATACTTATATCTAACTCTGAATTCAAATTTAAATATTTCACTTGAGATGAATTCTGAGTAATAATAATATGTACTTTAAATGTCCTGTATCAATAGTTGTCAACTGAAATTTGGCTTATGTGAGATATTCAGGACCATATTAATAGTTATTTGAAACTTGTCTTATGTGAAATATTCAGATTTTTATTCAGAGTTAGATAAAAAATTTTCAGTTAAGTTATATGTGACATTATATCTGTAATCGTGATTCAACTGAAAAACTTTCATCTAACTCTGAACTGAAATCTGAGTATTTCACTTGAGAAGGATTTCAGCTAACTATTAATATGGACCTTAGATTTTTATTCAGAGTTGAATTCAAGTTTTTTTTTAGTTAAATTGTAACATATATGACATTTATATAATCGCAATCCAGCTGAAAAATTCGCATTTCTGAACAATAACTCTGAATTCCGATTTGAATTCTTGATACAGTGAAGACAATTTTCAAATAACAACTGTTAAGTACAGACCCAAGAACGCATTTGAGACATTTGCGCTGTCCAGGCGCAGCTTCTTCTCGGAATACTCAAATCCGCGGCTCCGTGATTCCCCGATGACATGGAAATCGGAACAATGTGCTCCGTACACGCGACAACACAGAGTTCACACGCTCGCGACCTTTCGGTACATTCGTAGGACTATGCTTATTCGAGCATGTGCTTGTTTCACTCGACGGGTACAGAAGGTGCAGAAAGACGCGGCTGAAACGAGCGTGCCAAGCCAGGTTAGAGTCGTGCTCGTTCTGCACCTTCCTTGTCGACACACGTGGGTGCTTTCGTTTCATCTGCGTTTTCCACCTTGAAGATTGAGCGGACGAGAAGTCTGCTCTATTTAAACCGCACTTTCTCTCAGTCTTCCTCGCTGCTCAGCTTCTCCTCGACATTGGGCCCCCGAGTGCGCGAGTGCAGAGAGTGCAAGTCAAACAAACCGTAGATTCGAGAACAACACGCGCTCGCCCTGCAAAGGACACTTCATACCAAACAGTTACTATAAATTATCTATAATTTTACATCTTGCCTTTTTTAATCACACTCTTTGCTCCTCTCCTTTCTTCTCCTCTCTTCTTTCCTTCTTCATTCGCACAGATCCGTTTAATTGGCAGGTGGAAAATTCGAGAGATTACTGCTGGAACGAATAGACTCATTGTTTGAGCTCAGCTGTATGGAAGAAACTGGAAGGATAAATCACTGCGAAAGTCAGCGCGACGTAATCATACTGCCTGCAAATATATAACTTCTTTCTCATTCATAAATCTGATATATATATATATAATTAAACTGAAAACTTATCCAGAGCGAAGAGATGCTTGCAGCAACTCCGTGCCTCGGCAATTTCAATTATTTCAACAGCTTCAAGGGGGAACACCACGGTGAGGCAAAGGAGAAAGAATATCTTTAAGAAGTTTCTTTTAAGTAACAATATATAAAGATCATGAATTTTCGGCGAAAATCGGTCGGTATGTTTTTTATCAAGTTTTGGAAAAAAGAAAAATTTGCATGTAAACGAAAAGACGTCAATTTAAGAATTTGCCGCAAGGTGGAAGCCAGTCGGATCGATAGATTTCTAAATATCTTCCGGGCTAATTTTATAAAGATAGTCTCAAGAAATACGCGTTAAAGTCATCCCCAGTGCTTTTCGATAACGCTTCAAAAATTCTCCTCTAACTTCGTCAATCTTCAACCAAGCTTTAAACAATTTTCCAAAATTATATAATCTTTCAGAAAACGCGATGAAAAGAGTCGAGTTTCCGACATTTCTACCGTGGTGTTCCCCCATAACCTTCTTCTCTACGTAACGTTTAACCTCCGGCGTTTCTTTGCAGACTTCCATAGATGTCGGCATCACGTTCAGCGACTTCGTTTCACCACAATCGGTCACCATGTTGATCACATAACGCAGACTGGGCTGTACACAGGATCAAGAGGCGTAGGATCCCCTCCTGGATCTGCCGCCACCTAGACCACACCTAGAATTTCATGTCCAGTGCGTACCCGGCTGTTCTCACTCGCGTTCCGCCGCAGCATCGTCGACGAGCAGCGAGTTTCTTGCGGCCGAGAGAGAGAGAGAGAGAGACCAGAGAGACAACGCTTTTCCTTCACTGAGCAACAGCCGGCGAAGATGAACAGCAGGCTTGAAGAAACGGAGTCGAAGTGGATCTGCGAGTATTGCACGTATGCCAACTGGCCGTCGTCGCTGAAGTGCACCATGTGCCGGGGTGCAAAGCCGTTGTTGGGCGAGGACATTTACCGTCTGCGCGATCCGAGTCCACAGCGGGCTTCGTCCAATGTCGCCTCCGGTCCTGTGAGTCATCACCATCATCAGCAGCAGCAGCGCGCGAGTCCCATCGCGGATCCTACCTACGGTCATAACTACAGTCAGAACGTGCCGTCCGCGGGCAAGTGGTCGTGCGGCATGTGCACGTACCTTAACTACCAGAACACCACGCGCTGCGTGCAGTGCGGCAACCGGCGGCCCGCCATCATCGCCGCCATCGGCACCAGCGCGGCTAACAGCATCGCCAACACCGTCACCAGCACCACGACCATCAGCACCACCACCACCACCACCGCTGCCGCGACCGCTGTGATCGGCCAGTCCATTCATTCGTTAGCGTCGAACCTCCACGAGCATTTGGCGCCGCTACGGCTGGCCGACGGCCCGCTCAATTCCGGCTCGAACAACTCGCAGTCCACGCCGGTCATCAATCTCCATCCTGAACGAGCCTATCATAACGTGCAGCAGCAACAGCAAGCAAATATACACCCGGAGAAATGGTCCTGTCACGCGTGTACTTATGAGAACTGGCCCAAGGCCACCAAGTGCGTCATGTGCGGCCAGCCCAAGGACAGGGATAACAGACGGGATAACAATAGGTCCGCCGTGAGCAACCTAGGGGTGCCAAGTCCCGAGAGGGATCATGGCCAACAACGTGGCCTGCCCTCGCCACCCCATGCGCCTTACATTCACCAGACGCAACGGGAGGACAACTCGGCGATAGGCAGGAGGTGATTACGCTGCTTTACTGCTTGTTTCATTCACCAAGTCGGCATTATTGTGCTATAATTACTGCTATCATTAGTCCAATCCAGCATAATTAATATAGGAAGTCTGTTCTTTATAGCTGTAGAGAGTAAGTTGCATTGTATGTTGCATATTTTTCTAAAGTGAAATAGATACATATTTGACACTTGAAAGAGAGAAGAAAATGGAAAGATTACAAGATAGTTCAGAAAGCCCAGAAAAGACAGATCTGTTATTTATCTAGGCTGAACAAAAGTGTCATCGTCTCATGAATGTCGCACGTTTCGCAAATATTGTTTAATGTGATTTTTCTTAACGAATTTTGTCGGTAATAAGCGCTCGATTTATTTCAGAGCTTCGCACAGGTACACGGACAGTCGTAACGACAATCTGTCTACTCCTCAATCCCCCAATAACTGTGATTACGAGCGCCGATTGAAACAGCTGCGACGCCACACAGACTGGTGCTGGCTGAACGCCTGTCTCGGCATCGTCGAGGGTGACAACACTCCCGTAGAAGCTTACCTGGCGAGTGGTGGTGACCCTGCCCGCCAATTGACTCATTCTGAGGCTTTACTCCTCAACAGAAGTAGTGCGTTTGACGTCGGGCACACCTTGGTGCACTTGGCTATTAGGTAAGCCGGTTATATTTGTCATATTAACGAGTATTACGCAAATATTCGAAAAGTTGGGGAAATTACTTTTGTAAAAATCACTCGTTAACATTATTCTTTAGATACTGAAAAAAATTCTACACAGCAATGTCTAAAAGATATCTAAAAAAGTAGGATACCTTTTAGATGTTCTTAGTATCTCTCAGAAGTTTATGTTGTCTGGGTTATTTTAAAAAGTAATTCGTTACTTCGTTATTCTCACTCATGAAGTAATGAGTCGTTTACAGTCCTCATTGTTTTTTTAATCAATTTTCAAGATTTACGTTTCGTTGTCGCTCAACTCATATGAAGCAACAGTTATATTCGTCATTGTTACTAAAAAATGTAATTGCATTGCTATTATCGTTACTGATAAAAATAGAATAATATTGTTACCAAGTTGTTATTGAAAAGATAATTTGTGTAGCGATAATGATTACAAATGACGTTACAAAAGTAATGTGCTGCTTCCCAACTATACATATATTACATTTTAGATTTGGTTTCCGGGTTCGATTTTTCCGCGTGGATTTTTCTTTGTTTAATTTCGATGTTTCGCGAACATTTTAGTCCGCTTCATCAGGGAGGAACGACGCGATGCCTTCCTGATGAAGTGGACTGAAATGTTCGCGAAACATCGAAATTAAACAAAGAAAAATCCACACGGCTCAAACCCGGAAACCAAATCTAATATGCATGGACACCGCGAAAGCTTAAAATATCAATATATTACATTACAAAACAAGAAAGGGGAAAGAAAAGTATTCCTTTTCATATGTTCTCGCGATATGGATCTCGAGTGATTCTCATTTGGAATTGATATTTCGATAGGTTTCAAAGAGAGGATATTTTAGCTACGTTGCTGTCACAAATAGAAGGCTCGGGCTCGGGAGTGAAAAGAGTGCCGAGTTATGTTGCGCCCGATCTGGCGGGTCAGATACGCCGGCACGTTACCAACAATATACGCTTACGGAAGGGATCGTTTCCTTGTTATTTTGTCACGGACATGGCCACGTTTGCTTTACCAGCCGAGGTATTATTACTGTATGCTAATTTAAAAACGATTAAAAGCAAAATTGTAGCTCTATAATTTCTCCGAAATTATTCTAGTCTATCGAAATATTATAGTCTAGCAAAAACGCTACACTTCTAATTTGTCGACGTTCCTTAAGGTCGAGGACTTACCCAGCATCGTACAGGAGCAAATGCTGGAAGAATTATTAGACAAAGAGGCACAACAGCAACTGGAAGGCGGCGGCGGCGAACCGGCAGCTTTAAACTGGTCTCTGGAGATCACCGAACGGTTAGGCAGTCGTTTGCATGCTCTTTGGAACCGGTCAGCGGGCGATTGTCTCTTAGACTCCGCTATGCAAGCCACCTGGGGCGTCTTCGACAGAGACAATGCTCTGAGGAGAGCGCTCGCCGATACCCTGCAACAAGCCGGGCAATTGTAAGCGCATTATGCAATAGTATGCAAGTAACAATTGAAAATATAAACATATGTTTTTGTATTATACGCAATAATATAAGACATTAGTAATATATAAAAGAATATATTACTATATAAAGCTATAGCATTAACATATATATGTATAGAGAGAGAGTATACAAATAGTACATAAAATATATAAAATAATATAGTAATATAAAAATTCCTGGTTTTAATAATCTGTTTGGGATAAATTTTGAGTGCAACATATGTTTCAACAAGTGTTTCAACGCGGAAATCATTGACATTGTTACAGCTTTTATCCCCGTTGGAGAGAGTATGAGGCGTCACAGGCATCTAGAATGTTAGATTTCACCTTAGAAGAGACACAATGGCAGGAGGACTGGGAAAGCTTGCTGGCGACAGCTGCTCAGCCCGGCAGCGCATTAGAACAATTGCACGTATTCGCTCTCGCCCACATACTGAGGCGACCCATTATCGTTTACGGGGTCAAGTACGTCAAGAGTTTTCGCGGCGAGGACATAGGTGAGTGCTCGGCGAAATACGAAAACTTCACTTCTGCTCGTTTCAGTTATTAAATATTTGTTACAATATTTGAAATCAGATTTGAAGTCAGTTGAACAAATTTGAAGGAAAGGGATTACTTGATATTGAAGAAAAATTAATTCGTTATTTTTGAAACTTATAATATGCGATTCGATCTGCTGTTGTATTTTTACTCTCTGAATTTCTAAATGTGAAATCCACTCGAAAAGTAGGATGATAGTCAAATCATTTGAATTCAAGTGACTCTTCACCTATATAGAGTAAACTTTTCCGCTTTGAATGGTCAAGTGAATATTTTTATTCGAAATTCTAGTTTAATTCAATATTTTATATTCCATTGTCACTGTTAATATCACTGGAACAAAATCACTGTAATAAGCTAAAACATTCATTTATCTGAATTAAGAATCTTCTCTGCGGTTGAGTGAAACATTCAATTTTGCGATTCTGAATGACAATATTTTCAATACCGTTTTGAATGAATTTTTGCTTATTTTAAGTAAGGTTTACTTAAAAAATTTAGAGAGTAGTGTTTCATAATTGTTCTATGACCTATAATTACGATATACTCTCTGTAATTATAGTCTATAATTAGAACCTATGTTCTATCGTGACAATCTAATTCTAAAATTCGCCATGTTTGCAGGCTACGCGAGATTTGAGGGCGTCTATCTGCCGCTTCTTTGGGAGCCCTCGTTCTGCATTCGTTCGCCGATCGCCCTCGGCTACACCCGGGGTCACTTTACGGCGTTAGTACCGATCGAGCCTTACGCCTCGTCGCGGATACCGCCTCTGCCGTCCCACCACCACCATGGCGGCGGGAACAGTCCGCTCGAGCAACTGCAGTTGCAGATGCAGACGACGTTCATGCCGCTGATGGATCGCGAGCACAAGCTTCTACCGATACACTTCCTCAATCCTGACGAGGTCGGCCGCGAGGAATCTATTTACAAAGAATGGCTCGACGTCTGCAGGACTGAGGGTGGTATCCTCGTCGCCCAGCAGAAGCTTCACAAGCGACCACTGCTCGTGGCGCAGATGCTGGAGGAGTGGTTGAATCATTATCGTAGATTAGCGTGAGTAATAAATCGCCTTCTTTTTAACGTTTGGCAACTATTAGATGGAAAGAAAATTATAGTCTTTTCACATATAAAATTTTTTCAATTTTATTGTGTTTCCAATAACACAGGAATGAACTGTCATTGAGGTCTATCTTGCTGAGAAACATAATAAATTTTGTTAGGAATATAGCACATTTCATAGTTTCTAAAATATAAATAGCGTATATGAGATAAGAGGATAATCAATTATTGTAGGATATCGATCTATTCCTTAATTACAAAATCTTGTAATTTTTACTGTAAAATTTTCTCTGTGTAGAATTACTATTTATAACTCTAACTTTAACTTAACTTTAACTAACGTAAACTCTATTAATTATTTAATTACTAATTAATATTACTATTAGTAATTAATAATTACTGATATTACTAATATAATTAATAACAATAACAATAATAATAATAATATAATAACCTACATATACAACTCATATAATATATACTCATATGATTAGAATTAAAATTACATTTTCTCTCTTTCTTTCTACTACCTTTTCTCTTCAAAATTGTCTGTAAATAATAAAGTGTGGATATTTGAACATTCAGGCTTAATTGCATTTTGAAAGAAAACAAAATTATAAAATTTCTCGAGCTACAATCTTTTCTTTTCTTTATAATGTTGCAGTCAAACCAACGACGCACCATTCTCGAGACCACCGACATTGCAGGATTACAGCAGCGACGGCGATACCGAGGACGAGTAGTAGCGAGGTAATCCCACGTGTTGGGACTGTGACATGAGAAGCATCCTTTCGCAGAAGTTTCGCGATATTTCATTTGTTGCCTCGCTAGAACTCTTGGAGAGGACCTGGAAACTCCTCTTCTCTCTCTTTTCCTCTGTATTTTATTCATTTTTGCTCTATGATATGTACAGAAGCCTTGGGGACTCTCTGTAATTTTAACGTGAAAATAAATAAAGTATAGGGGAGAAAGTTCCCGGAATCTCCCTGCGCAAACGCACTTTAATGCAATTGTGAACGGAGTACACATCCACACCTGTGAAACATGGATGCTTCTCGGCGGTATTAGGATTAGGAAAGTGAGACGGAAATACTTCGTCGGCTAACTCGAATACTATCGGGATATCGCCACGTCCATACATACAAATACATTCTCTCGCACTGGCAATGTATCGTCGTTAATTCTCAATCATTGCGCAGAGATCGTGAGGTTCGTTGAGATCATGGAAGCTTTCGGAGAGTCGATGATTAGCTTGTTTTTTGTTACTTTTTTTTCAAGGAATCTCTTCCCGACTTGTCGTGCTGACTTATCAAATTCACCGTCAGAATGAAACGGTCGTTCTAAGACAATTTCTACAAAGTCGGTGAATACGATTATCTTTTGTGGCCGGACATTTTTTGGATCGAGCGTGTGTGTTGCTTCTTGAACATTCATTTGTGCGGCACGATTTTTTTGATTTTCCCGTAGAGGCAAAAAGGAAGCAAAAAAGAAAAAAGAAAACGAAACTTCGCTAGTCTCTTTCTCCACCAGTGTACTCGAACTTAGTTTCTTCAGATGGAGAGAAGAGAGCGCGCGTTGAGTATGTGTTATATATTTATATATATATGTATATGTATAAATATCTCGAAGTGTGTGTGAGTTTTTGCGGTACGATACGTACGATTACGCGTAAGTGTTATTATATACAATTCATTGCCAGTGACATCGGGATGAAAGTGTAGAGAACACTGTCGTTTGTTACACATCGGATGTCGTCGTTTTTTGCATAATAGAAATTTAATCTCTAGGCTATCGAAGGCGGGATATAACAATTTTTTCACAGATAGTTTGTAAAGTTATTAGTCTCGTACGAGAGAGTGCAAAAGAGAGAGCGCAAACTGTGTTTTAGAATAATTTCTCCCTTTCCCTCTTTCTCACTCTCTCCCTCTTCCTCCTCCCCCACCCCCCTCTCTCTTTCTCTCTCGCAAAATTACAGAATTTCCTAGAGATCTACACGAAAAATCTATCTCCGCGCGTTTTCGGAAGCGCGCTCACTCGTTCATTCGTTCGTCGCGTTCCACTTTTACGACGAACGGAGGAATACACGGGATGTCGCGATCGATCTATATCTCGACGGCTAGATTCGGCCGGCAATTCCGGCTATCGTGATTAATCATCGAAGATGAGAAACTCACTGCGCGAATAGAACCTTAGAAAAGAAAAGATACAAATAAAAAACGAAATAGCGGAAACGATCTTCTCAATTAATTCGAGACCAATTTAACGGAATCTTCCAAGCCGAGACTCACTCAGTGAAGAAAATCGGCGAAGTCCAATGACCGGCTCATCATCTCCTGAGGAAACGGGCGGAAGGTAATATAACTTCGTGGAAAATTGCGTTACCACTGAAGAAAAGAAGAGAAGCCGTTATTCGCCCCGTCCCTCGCGTCTCTTGCCTCGATCTCGAATCGGTCGAAGATTTCGTTCGTTGAGCATCGAGCACGCGACAGTAAGACGGGACCATTCCTAATCCCCTGCGCGATCGCTAGACTGGTCTTCCTCAGCGTGGGGAGCATAGAGCTCGACAACCTCTGTATATAGGATAAAACGCCGACTTGTTAGGTTTGATTCTTTATCGCTCAATTAGTGTACACTCACGGAACTTAAAAAAAAAAAAAACAAGCATACAGTTGAGATTTGGTGGAAAAAAGTAGAAGAAGAGAATATTAACGCAAGCTAGTGCAGCCAGTTCATCATTAGAAAACAAACCCTATCGGCATCTTCCTTAATCATTGGCTCTCTAGGAAAATCTGGCTTTTCTTAGTGACCAACTATATCTGCTTGTAGTTTACTTGTGAAAATCCCTTCTGGAATTATACAGCGCAGGCAAAGAAGCTTAACCTGTTCTCTAAAGTGTATTCTTCACTGAAATGCCGTATTTACAACTAGTGATTCACTAGTAAAATTTCGCTGAGATTAGTCAATAGTAACGACTGTTTCTGTCATTAACAAGACGTATAGAAGTCATTAATTCCATCAACACGCAAACGTAGAATGTTCAAGTTGATAACGTATGTTCAAGTTGGTAGCGTATAACGAGTTTGTGTATCACAGATACTTTGCAGTGAGAACTCACTTCCATTTCACTCAAAATCAGCGAAAATCAAAACAGAGCAGTAAAGTGGGAGTTTTTACTGAAAATTAATGAATACTCACTGATCGTCTGTAAATAGTCCTTCGATTCAGGGAATATTTTTGCTGATTCACTTCAAGAAAGTGGTCGGAAGAGAAGCCAGATTTTTCTGAAGAGTCAATGACTAAGAACGATGCCTATAATTGGGTGTTTTACCTTAACCTTTAACTCACTCGTTAGAGAAGAAAGTCAGCACGAAGCGGCCGGGCACCACAAATGAGCAACGACCTGTTTCCATCACGGAGATGCACTGAGCACACACACACACACACACATATGCCTCAATACTCATTAGATCTTATTAGTCGTCGGTTGGACGTGTTTTTTCTCGCGAGCGTTGAGGCATACGAACACACAAGAAAATGTTTTGCTCTGATCTAGTCTAGAATTCTAAATGTCACAGTTGAGAAATTTGTCGTTGTTTTTTGTATCTGTGCTACGTAGGATTTACAGCAGCAGCGTTCTAGTACCATTTGCAGACAAATTTAGGTCCCGTTACCAATTATTAATCTGGCCTTGGTCTCGACGGGCACCACAGAGAGAGACTTTCTTGTTGAAAATTTTACAAATAGTCCAGATATAAATTCCGTCTTTGCCATTAAATATTGACTAATTACAATACACATATGCAATGTGCGCAGTGTTTGCTAGTCACCCGTGTCCGTCTTAGCGAATTTCTCGTAAATCTAGATCATTTTCGCTGTGACTGCAAGGCCATTTTCTTTGAATGAACAGGCAGGTTTCTTCCGCGTCTCTTCTCTTCAGTTGCATATCTCGTGTACTTACTCGCGGTCTTGCTCCTTCCCTCCACCCTCTCCTCACCCATCCACTCACCCCTCCATCGTCGAGTCTCGAGTGATACATACCTATCTCATTCTAAATAGTAAAAAAAAATGTGTGACAGCGCAACCAGACCGAGGAAAAAGAAACAAACGTAAAAAGAGCGCAGTTTTGTACGCGTGAGACGGAAAGCCGGCCGCTTTTCCGGCGTGCGTATCGACAGGAACTATAAAACGGGCGTGCGGAAAATTGCGCTTTCCTCTATGGCGAGAAAAACGGGGGAAAAATACTGAAAAAGAAAACAAGTGTGTGTGATTTCTCCCAACATGTTGAATAAATAAATAAATAAATAAATATATATATATATATATATATATATAGAAAGAGATATATATAAAATATTATACGACGCGTACCGTAAATAGAACTTTTATAAAGCGATGAGAAATTAAAGAAACAAGTGACACGTATTTCAGCGTTAGAATAAAAAAAAAACATTCACTCAGTCTCACATACACATACACACATACACACATACACATATAGACACTTCGTCTTTAACGACACATTCGCGAACGAACAAATTATAAGAATAATCGTGAACCCTAATCAAAAAAGTACAAAAAGATTCGCGAGAGGAGGAGCGAAGACGCTTCCACGTAAGGATAGTCTTCGTTTCTACTAATTAATTCTAACAGTAAACAAATAGTCTCTAGTCCTTTTTGCATAACGTAGCGTGTCGTTTTTCTTTTTCCCGCATATATCAATAATGAATAGAGAAGAAAAGGAAGAAAACGAAAGGACAGACGTTGGCGAAAGCGACCGACGATCGCGGTTCCGCTCGGGGCCGGATTTAGCTGAATTTGGCGAAATCGGAGGGACGAGATGAGCGTGCCGCTCACATTTCCTTTCCGAGAGGCGTATGAAAGAGTATATATACGTTATCGAATAATGCCGTCAAATATTAAGTTATTAATGCGACATTATCGCGAACACCAAAAGATTCGGGCAACAAAAATTTTATATTCTGTTTGGTTTCTCTCCTGGGAATCTCTCCAGCGTGACGAAGTGGATCTTCTCGGTGTTCCGAATATTCATTTTTGCTAATTGAAAAGGAATACCCCGAGAATCCCTCCGCGTCCGTAGAGGAAGATAAACCCGGCCCGGACAATCGCTTCAACGAGGGTGGAGACCGATATTATTCGACCAAGTGCCGATACTCGCGGATACAGCGGCCATGCGACAACGATTTTTGCATTTTTCTGCGAATAAAAGAGAGAGAGAGGAGAAAAGAGTCCACGGGAAAGGCACGAAACGCGATGAGCTTCTCTTTCTCGTGTGCAAAAGTACCCAACGCCTGATTAACGTCCAGAGTCAGGTACCAAGCTTATTAGTGCCCAGGCAGTGGTACTTTTACCTTACCAGCGGATTCTCGTGACGGAAACGCACAACCCTTCACCGGAATTTCGGAAATTGAGTCGTTCGGCCAGAAGCCGGGGGCTGTAATTTGTTGCCGCCGATCAATCAGCTCAATTTGTTTATCGAGCTGAAGCTCCTTAATTCCCTCACTCTCAATACGAAATTATTACTAACAATTTATCAAAGTTATTTGACTTCCTTTCTCATTTCCTTCCTCTTTTCCGCAATTTTTCCTGTCTCGTCAATCAAGCCTCCTTCTTTGTCGGAAATATTCCTAAGCGGGAGGAATATTTCAAACGCAATTCGCAAACTACCTTCCGCGACACACTCGACTCAAATTATCGATACCGCTTTCCTGCCATTCGAGATTTCGCGAGCTTTTCTGTTGGCGAGTGGGCCGAGCGTTCTCAGCTTCAATCGAGCACGATTTTACACGCATTCCGCATTAAAAATTTCGCTCGGCCGGAAGAAGTTTTTCCTCTCGCCACTCGACCATTTCATACATCTCGTTGGACTCGTAGAGAAGGAAGAAAAAATATCGTAAATCGCGGTCCTCAGGCCCGAGTATCGACGAAGGGAGAGGAGAGACGCGGCGAGGGCGGGAGATGACGAGGTAGTTTCCTTCTTCCTGTCGGGAAAATGAACTTTCTGACGAGGGTTTCGTTTCTGTCTCGGCGAGTCCCTTCGGCAGCCGCCCCCGAAATTACGGCGGTCTTGATCTGCGCGCTTTTGCGAGAGCCGCAACAGGAACAGACAGGTATAAGTCAATTCTAACATCTCACGACGTGCGCCGCGTCTCTGCGAGTGACAGATGCCGAGGAGTTACCGCTTGTCATTATCATTGTCGGCACTGTTACGCATCGGCGATCGTTACCCGCGAGAGAAGGGCTCGGAGAAGCGAGATCGTCGGAGTGTCAGGGTAATTGTCCATATTACTGTGCTCTTCTATTTATACAAACCATAAAAAGAAAATAAACAACACAAATAAATAGATGCAAATAAATAGAAATAAATAACAAATATATAAATAAATAGAACAAAATATTTTTTAAATTAAGTTAAAGTATTAAACTTAATAAAAAATATTTTTACTATTTATTTGTACTACTTTTTTATGGCTTATTTAAATACATGGCACACTAACAGGAACAGGCAGAGTAATACGGACAGTTATAATAAGATCCATGATATATAATTGGCTAATAAGAGCTAATCGCAAGACATTATGCTCTTTATTAATGAGCATGCTTTTTATTCGTGTCTAAACGTCCGTGTCCAATAGGGAAATTTGCTCCCTACGCTTTTCAGAGCTACTGAAAGTGCACATATGTACGTTTAAATAACGTTCAATTTTTCTCCTGCAATTCAAACATTTTCGACAAAATATAACGAACATTATTACGAATAAGCTCTCACCAGAATTTTATTCCTGTAGAATAAAATTCCACAGGAAGAAGAGAAGTCTCGTCACTGTGACTGACATATGTCAGTAATTAATATGTCACTAATTAATGTCACTCTGAAATTAAATCATTTCCTTCTGACTTTAATCGCTTCATTCATGAAGAGATCCAACATTTTCAGAAGATAAATTTTTCTATTGGATACCGCACGAGTTACGAGAAGTTTATTGAGACGTCGCGATTTTTTTGCTTCACTGACTGAACTTTGAGTCATCCTTCTTTGACGGTGGTTCGAGATGAAATCGATCAAAAACGTGAAGATCGATCGTGAAGGAAGGAAACTTTATGGAAAGCGCGCATGTGAAACAATCGCTCCGTCAGACTCGAAGGATTGGCAGCTCGTTCTCTCTCTCTCTCTCTCTCTCTTTCTCTCTCAAAACTGCTGAATTTCCCGTAGGAAGTACGTACCGCAAAAAGAGCGCCGGGCTGTGTGTCCGACAATAACGGAAGCTGGGCGATCCAACGAATGAAAGCGCGACAATATTCAGAACGGCATTTCGCGTCTCCGTTTCTGTGGTCGGTACTCGCACTGAGAGAAAAATGTTTGGTATTTGTACCTATAATCATATAATACTATACTATAAATTATGGTCAAGACAACCATTTTTTAGTCAATTGCACTATAATTTTAGTGATAATAACCTTATATGCATGTTACTACTACTATCTTCGTGTTGGAACAAGGAAGAAATATAGTTGGCAGCAAATTGGTTCAACTATATTTTTTGGTTGTTCCAACACGAAGATAGTAAAAATTGATGTGTTAAATTTAACACATTTCATGTGTCCCAAATCATCCACTCTCATTTATGTGTAAATTTAACACAAAAAAAATGTGATAAAAAGTAACACGCATAATATGTAAAAAATTAACACAAGAATTTAACACTTGAACACCGTTACGAATCACAGGTTGTGTTAAATTGACATATTTAATATGTCAGACATAGATTACGTCAATTTAACATTTTTATTTTATCAAAACCATAGATTAATCAAATGTTAAAGTAACGTTTTATTTTAGTTAATTTAACATTATACATATGTCAATTTAGCACAATCTGTGATTCCTAACGGTTCAAGTGTCAAATTCTTGTGTTAATTTTTTACATATTATGCGTGTTACTTTTTACCACATTTTGTGTTAAATTTACACATAAATAAGAGTGGATGATTTGGGACACATGAAATGTTAAATTTAACACATCAGTTTTTACAGTATAGTAGTAACATGCATATAAGGTTATTATCACTAAAATTATAGTGCAATTGACTAAAAAATGGTTGTCTTGACCGCAATTTGTAGTAATTGTTTCTCTACATGATTATAGTTACAAATACCAAACATTTTTCTCTCAGTGCGTAGTCGAATCTTATATCTAAGACCGTCTTAAGTTCATCTTCAGGTATTCTGTAGCCAATGAAATGATCTGTACAACATCCGAAGGTGAATTTAAGACGGCTTTAAATATAAGACCTGACTATGAATACCGGCCTGTGTGTTTTCTGCGAGTCGACGTGTCCGATTATCGCGCTCACAGCTTCCGGCTTCCGACGTGACGAGAAACGAAAGTGGCGGGCTTCCTCTCCTCGGCCGTTATCTCGATATTTGTTACCGATAAATGTAACAACATTATACCGACAATGAATTACAATTACCGCGTACAATACGTACGATACGATAATAAATTACGATGTAGTCAATGGCAACGATTGATATTGAAAATTTCATTTTTCGAGTATTAATCGTCGATGGCCGGGAATGGCGGGTCCTTTCGGCAGGATAAAAAAAATGTATGAGCCACGATGTTCCGGAGATGAGTGCGCGTATGTGAGTGCATCTGTTGTGTGCGTGTTTATGTGTGTGTGTGTTCCCTGTTTCTTTATTTGATTTCGGAGTTATTAAGCTGGTTTTCTCGCTCTCGTTGCCAGGATTCGCTCTCGGCAGGTGATAAAGTTTTAAGAATCTAATCGAATCAGACAGAGAGAAGTCATATAAATAAATAAATATATATGTATGTATGAAATAGATCTTCTATTAGCACATTCGTTTCGCGGAACAAGACGCCTCGTCTTCAAGTAAAAATCGCCCGAAGCGAATGTGCTAAATAATATATCGATGTACAATAATTCTATAAATAACAATTTATTATATTATTATTATTATTATTACGATGAATTATGAATTATTATTATAAATACTATAAATAAGGAAGCATCGAGGTGAATCACAATAAATGCTGAATTACTTTACATCACCGCTGTCCCTTTATTGAAGGAACTCCCCGGAGTTTTGTCGACGCGAGGAGCAGTTTTGTGATGAGGATTGCGCACGATCGAGTTTGTATGCAAATATATTCGACGCGTACATTACCGTTATAGTAACAATATAATCGACTATGTCTGCCGATAAATTAGTTAAAATCACTGAAAAGGAAAATAAATGGAACGCTGGCGTTCCACTGTGCCTCAAAGTGTCGAAGGGGCTAACGATTTATATTCGTCGAGATCTCTCGACACGCCAAGATTTCACCGAAAAATCTCGAGGAGCTCATCTTTTCACCTCAAATCGGTATTTTGAAAGAATTGTTTTTGCTAAGATGTGTCATTGCTAAAAAACTATAACTATAACTAACTATAACTATAACTGAAAGCTCCGAATTGGCCCACTTACGATCTTCGTTCTTTCAAAAAGAGGAGGAGGCGTGGTAGATCAATTAAAAAGAAAATGTTGAACCATAAATTCAAGACGGTTTGCGCGAAGGTGAGCTCCTCGAACGTGACGGTGGAACTTACTTGATCGCAATGAGAAAGGAGGAGATGCGACGGGCGACGGCCTCCAATCTTCGTGAACAAGCCCATAGCAGTCGCATCCGAGAATCTACGGTTGCAAGGTAGGCCCCGGATTTCCTGTAAAACAGTGAGGGTCAATTTCGCTTTAACGTGAAATATTTCTACATCCTGGGTCAATGAGTGCATGCGCGTGGGAACATGGGAATAAAATGGGAACATAAACTGAGAGATGAAATGGAAATGCAAAGTAAAAAATAAAATAAAATAAAAAATTCTACTTTCAGCGGTATCTCCATCGAGAAGACAGAGTAATTTTATTTGATTTTATTTCGCGTCCGCGCGAGCACGAGATTATTATCATGGTTGTTATTATTATCATTATTATTATTTTTATCATGGTCGTTTTGTATTATTATTTTTCACTCACGCATTGGTACGTTTGGACAGATTAGACATGGAAAATATAAAAATAAGAATAGAAACAAGAAAACTTAGAAAAACATAAACCACCTTCGAAAACGTCGAGATTTAAAAAGTATAGAATCATTTTAAATTGAGATTTCATCTCAATATTTCTAATGGGTAATAAGCGCCGCATTCGTTAATTTGCTATTTACTTCATCGCGCCAAGATCCGGATTAAGACGCGACAGCCGGGAAATCTCGCACGCTTTTCCGGCCTGTTTCCCCGACGGTGAAACAGAAAGGGGACCGGAACGGAGGGGTCGTCGCGAGCAGTTCCTTACATATTACATGGCGGTACGTGACTGGATTTATCGACGGCGACCCGGCCAGCAAATACGCCCGGCCGTCCATCTGGGACGAACGCTCCATTTTCGGAATGCCTCGGCGCGAAACGCCGCCGGAAGTCGAGTCCCATCTAAATAACTGATTAAGCAGTTTCACCCGCCCGGCGCCATCGGCTGCTCGAGAGGAATTGCGTCGACGTTAAGCGTCTCACACCCAAAATTCACCGAGCGCGTTGAAACGCGTTTCTTTGACTTTTCTTCCCTCTCTTTTCCTCCCTTGCTTCTTTTTTTCGCGGGAATATCGCGTGAAATGCATACAGAGAGAAAAGACGTGCGTGTGTTCGTTTAATCGTGAAACTTAGCGACGGAAAATGACTTTACGCTTAGAGGTTGCATTAATTTCGTCATATTTTAACTTGTTAAAGCGTCACGTGCTACTCGGAAAATCGATGTAATTATATTACAAATAACGTGCTTCTTTATCTTCATTTTCTCCTATTTTTATCTTTCTCTCCGTCTCTTTATTTTTAACTGACTTAAAAAAAAGATGTTCTCCGTATGTATGTTTGTTTATTTGTACGATGTCGTATGTTTCCTCATAATTTGAAAACCATTAGAGATATTGACATGAAACCTCAAATTTAAAATGATTTTATACTTTTTAAGTCTTCTGACGTTTTCGAAGGTGCTTTACATTTTTTTAAAGTTTTCTTATTTCTATTCTTATTTTTACATTTTCTACTAATTTTTATTCTTACTTTCATATTTATTTTTCATTAATATTGCATCTTACTATCTCTCTATTGCGGTGCAATTAAAAAATTATATATAAACTATACTGTTATTTTGGTGTGAGGAATCCTTGACTCAGAGCGTCAAATAAAAAACACTCTCTCTCTCTCTCTTGCTGTTTTTTTTAAATCTAAGATCGCGGGCGCCACGCTTCGAAACGCCGCATTTAAGTTTCACCCAACTAAACTTTCTGCCCTAATAGCTTTCAACTGAATTACATCACCATGTTCGGCGCTTATCGAATAATATGTCAGTCGGGACGATTAATACACGCGGTTGGCGCAATTTGCGAGCAATTCGCGACCCTGTGCGTGCGTTCGTGCACGTGTCGTGCAATCGTCACCGCTGTCGCGGAATATTTTCCCGCTTGACATTCGGTTGCCGCGATGTCGGTACGCTCTTATGCGCGCGAATTCAGCGCAAGGGGAGAATCGATCATTAATATTAACAGGAATAATAAAACGCGACAGCGGCGCTAAAAAGCGACACGCGATTGTCGCAACGGCACAGGCGCGTGTCGACAAACGAGCGACGCGGATTCGCACGTTTTTCCTCGTGCTCCGAGGAACGTTCGTGTTGCATTTAATGTTTGCGCTCCATAAATTTGCGTTGTTATCCACGTTGCATTGCGAATTTGCTCGCGGTACACTCCGTTTCACTTTTTCATCTCCCCCTCTCCTTCTCCTCCTTTTCTCTCACGTTTCTTTTTATACACGACGAATTAATGTTTAACTCGCTACGCAAATCCCGATTTCATTTCCACCGTGTTTCGACGACTGCCGCGTTTTATCCGGCCGCGAGCGAGACGAGCATTGCCGTATAATTCTCCTTTTTTTTGTTTTTCGCCTCTCTCGCTCTCACATCATGGGAGAGAGAGAATATTTCCATAGAACGGAAAGGATTTATATCCTGCCTGGTGCCGAGACAGGAGCATGTGGAGGAAGAGGAGGGCAACAGCGCGATTGTTTCACGCGGAGATTAACGGACACGCCGGTCGGAGTCAATGACGAATCGATGATGAATCCGAACGAGTCGACGCGAGGAACTTGATGGATCAAATCGCGACGTTCACATTGCTTGCCGAGGTAAACAGAAAAGTAATTTTTGAAAATTCGCATCTCCTGAAGAGAGCATGGAGATGTCCAGATATATTTACATAATATTAATAATCGAGAGTTTAATAACTGTGAGATGAATTTGGTAATGAATAATTGAATAAAAAGTTGCAGTGAAAGTATTTTATATAACATTTCTTGCTCTCTTAAAATAATATTTCCATTCAGTGTTCCTGAGTAGCTCAGTATTCCTTGAATAGTGTAACAAAATCAAAGAAATGTATTTTATGTATACCTGAATTGCTTAATTAGAATATTTGTACCAAATTTTCTGCAATGCTATTTTTATTGCAGAATTGTATGTTTTCTTTTTTATTTTTTTGCAGTTATTGATCCAGAAGATGTCACAGCTGGATCAAGAAAGGTAAATTCAGGACTCACAAAAAGAGTAATTGTTGAAATTTTTTTTTCTTAATTGAACGTTTTGATTGAATTCGATCAAAGCTGACGGGAACTCTTGCTAAAAGTAGCGGTATTTATTTATTTTTGTATTTTAGAGGGAAAGTGTCGTGCAAGGTTCGCGAAGTTAGCACAATTTTTTATTTGCCGTTTTTCGGTATTAAAAGTGCGGACTCTTTTTATTTTCTATCTAGAACTATGAAAAGTATTAATAGAACTGTAATTGTTTTTTTTTAATTTATAATACGCCGTGCCAACCTCACAGACGCGTCTCCCGCGCGAAATCGAGCCCGGGGTGTTTCTCTTCGGCGGACAAGAACAAACCTCCCTCAACAATTAATCCGTCTGGCGAGTATTAATCACATCCTGGGCCGTAGCGACTCGATTCCCGCCGTGTGCGTGCACAAACAGAACGCGCGAGTGGGTTCGCTTTCAACAATTAAAGGGAAAGGAAAATATTTTCGCGCCGCACAGAGCTAGCTTACAAATCGCACGGCCGGAGGTAACGCGAGCGAGTAATAATGAAGGATAGGTGGGAAGCCTACTCGTGTTGTGAATTTAGCATCAGATTTGAATCGTTAAGAATTTAAGGAGAAACGTCCGATCGAGTTAGGACTGTTGGAATACTTGCAAAGAAGAAGAAGAACCGGTGGTCTCCAATTTCTCCGACCGTCCTCTCAGTGTGGAATTCTCGAAGTCGGGCTGCACTTTGCGCGATCTCTTGCAGGATCTCTGAAACAATTAATACTAGAAGGGCCGAGGTAGCCAATTTCGCAAAATTCAAACAGCTATAACTTTTTTCAATTTTTCTCCGATGTGATAATCTCTTGTGACTTTTCAATTTTCCCTTATTTCTGTTATTGCATTCACATATGTTTTACGATTTTATTAACAAGTTTTATGACTTTAAACAGATACATATGTATAAAAATATTTATTTATCTGTTTCAAGTCATAAAACTTGTTAATAAAATCGTAAAACATATATGAATGCAATATCAGAAATAAGGGAGCCAAATTGGCTCCAACGGTCCTTCTAGGTAGACAATTAAATAAAAATTCAACACACCATCTTGTGTAATTAAATTTTTTATTTACCAAAATTAAGATTGTGATGAAAAGTCACAAGAGGTTATCACATGGGAGTGAAATTGAGAAAAGTTATAGCTGTTTGAATTTTGCGAGAAGCCAAATTGGCTACCTCGGTCCTTCTAGTGTTAATAAGCTCAATTAATAATGTAACATATCACAGATATTTATTATTCACAGTTATTTTTATATTTTATAACACGATTTGCTTTACTTCCGGAGGCCCTGCGCGCATTTATCGGGCAGCTGGTGGCGGCGAACTGTCCAGTTTCTTCCACGCACGTTTCGCTTTATTTTATTCTTTTTTTCCCTTCCGCCACCGCCGCTCGATATGTCTATCGCGACACATGTGAACGCCTGTATACATCCGCGACAACGGCGAGACAACAGACGGACGTGCGAGAGAGCGTGTGTGGGTGGGATACAATGGTATCGAGAAGAGATGATGGATTCTGTGCTCACGTGTGCCCCACGCCAATTCCTCTTTTCGGCGATATTACCGCGCGATCCGAACCATCCTTCCCCTTCGCGAATCGGAACACTGGAGATTAACGCAGTTAATAACGTGCTTGATTACACACGTTGCTCATTAACGTACTTGCGCAATAACGCACCCGAATATTTAATCCTAAATACAGAAAAACGCACATTGTATTCAGATAAATGTTACTTGTTTTGAATGTTTTATAAATTTGTATATCTGCAATTCTATCATAAAAGCTCATCATAAGCGTCAGATTTGTTCGAAATACACTACCCTAAATCCTAATGGGTTTAGCATTGCAAATAAGAATGTTTCATGTAAAACAAAAATTCGGTTTGCTCGATACATAAGAGTCAAACCAATATTTTCTCGAATAGTTTTATAATATTCTTCTAAATAAAATAATTTTTTCTTTTGAGTACATGATAGTAAACTTTTCACAAATTTGTGATGAGTAGATTTTAAGAATATTATTTTATCAAGAAAATATTTAAAAATTAGTCTAATATGGCTCTCAGATATATAATCAACAAATCGCGGAAAAAGAAAGGCGTGTAAGAGCTAAAGCAGGTTTAACAGGTTTAATAGTGCGATTGTGTTTATTACAAAGAAAAAAAAATTTAATTTGATTTTTTTTCTTTGTAATAAACACAATCGCACTATTAAACCTGTGCTTTAGCTCTTACACGCCTTTCTCTTCACGTAATTTCAAGAAAATATTCTTTGCTGAAGATAACCATTATTTTGAAACCGAATAATCGTTTTCCTCTTAGCAGTAAAATATTTTTCTGTGTGTAAAAAGGGAGCTTTAGTATGAGTAAAAGAGTTACTTGTGCTACTTTTCTAGAGTTAATCGCCTAAGAATCTTACTGTCATATCTGATTATGTTATATCAGCTGTACGTAGCATCCAGCTCTATTTATCCCCGAAGCGGAGAAATGGATTCTCGTGAGTCACGCTCGAGGGAGCGCAAAAATGAGATTAATTGTAAATATAATACAGATAAATGGAATCGAGTGAGAGATAATGGAATTAACGACAAAACAATCGCGACAGGAACACAGAATAACGGGATTTATATTTTTCTCGCCTTAAGTTTGGGTAAAATCTCCCTTTCTCTTCCTTCCTTTTGTTATGCTATTAGAATATTGTAATACAAATTATTTTGAAATTATATTTCTTTTTGCAATGTTTTTTATAAAGTTCTGGACTATACCGAAATTGTAATGAATAACTTTAGTATATTTAGTAAATAACTCTAATCAAAATGGAAAATTTGATCTACCTGTTTTATGATATAAAAAAATATTCAACATTGATTACAATAATTTTGCAGCAAAAACTCAAACGTTTTACTTTTTTTATTATATTACTCTATTCTATACGCTGTAATATATAAGTAACAAATAACGTCTTTGGAGGAAATGCCTTAGAGGAATAACAAAAGCGTCTATTTCCCTCCTCTGCCCCTCTCTCTATTTCTTGGCTGAACCATCAAAATACTTATTAATGCAAATCGGGACGATGAGGAGCGATCTCCACGCGATTCCCGACTTCGAGAGCCCGTGAATCAGCTTCGACCTCGGCGGGCCGCTGAAAAACCACCACCACCACCACCATCACCCCTTAGCCGTCCTGCCGGCTGGCGGAGGAAGGAACGACAAGCCAGCAAGGGGATGAGGTGAGCTCAGAGTGAAGACTCGCTTGCTGGCGAACAGAGAGAGGAAGAGAGAGAGAGAGAGATAAAGAGAAAGAGAGAGAGAGAGAGAGAGAGAGAGAGAGAGAGAGAGAGAGAGAGAGAGAGAAGGAAAGAATGTGAGCAGGGTAGGCGCGGAGGGTGAGTGCACCCTCCTGTGTCGCCGCTGCTACCACCGCCGTTGTACACTGGAGTTGGCGAGAGAAAGAGAGTAAGAGAGAGAAAGGGAGGGCGAGAGAAAGAGACAGCGGGAGCGAGCGAGACAGGGTGGCGCGGAGGTGAGTCGGTGGAAAGCGGGAAAGCGTTCGCGCAACCACCCACAGTTCACTGCGGCCTCGCGAGCTGAGTGCGCCGCGTGCTGGTTGGCTGGTGGTCGCGCGTACCGCGAACTACCCCTCGCTCGTCTACGACGCATTCACCCCCGCGTTTGGCGCGTAAACAGAGCGCCCACGGAGCGTCGTCTGTGCCCCAGACTATCAGCCTGCCACAGACTCGCAGCGGATCCCGAGGACGTGCCGCCGTCATCGTTGTCGTCGCCGGGCCAACACGTGGAGGCCCGCGCGAGATGGCATCCTTTAGTGTTTTCTTCTCCCCCGAGGGGGTCGAGGGAGAAAAGATCAATTAGCGTCAATCGAGAGGCACTTTCAACCTGAGCAGTAAGCAATAAGTTTCCTCGTTAACAGCGAAAACTCAAGACGTCTGCTGAGGATCCATTGATGATGATAACCAGATCGTTCTTCTTGACCATCACAGAGGGTCGTTGAGCCTTGACACGGGATATCGTGTCTCTGAAGAGCTCACTGAGCCTTGGATCCAGGACGGAACGTGGTCAACTTGGCTCGACAGGTTCAATATGATGATGGACTGCGACTTCCCGCCTCTGGAAGTCGTAGAAACTGAAGACGTGACTCAAGAGAGGCCACGGCTTGACCTGGAGCTTGCGGAGCAGTAGTGAGAAATTAGTGAATTCAACGAAGCAAGGCTCAACGAGATGCGGAAACATCCCCGGCTTTGCCTCGAGTTTCTTCTTCTTTGGACTTGCTCTTCCGCGATCGATCACGGCGGGTCGAAGGGGACGGTCGTCTAGCTGCGATCCCCTGCCTCCGAGCGCGACGTCGATCATCCGTGCGATTCCTCCTGGCTCTCATCGCGGCGTGCTCGCGCTCCTGGACGTCACGGAGGCGCGTCCCTGCGTATCTTCGCGCCTCCTGAGAGCCTCGTTTTCGACGAGACGTCGCGGGGAATTCTCCCTGGACCAGGAGCTCGAGGTGGCCGTCGACCACGTCGCGGGAGCACGTGTTGCCTGTCGCCTGCCTGTGCGTTTTCTCGACGGCAGTGCGAGTGTCCGGGAGTCGCGCAAAAGCGCCCAGCACTCCACTTGTAGATCCATCGAACGCTCCGTCCGCCACTTCGACAAGAACACGCGCGGAAGTGCCTGGCGAACTCGCAGGGTGACGTTGAGTGCGCGGAGAGTGCCCGCACGGCGAAGAGCAGCGTCGCGTCGCATATCTCGCACCAGGTAGCTTTCGTCATTTTGTTGGTTATCGGTGCCGATAACACGACAACGCCGAGTCTATCTCCCTCCCCCACCCGCTTGTTTATTCGCGCCGATCTCTCTCTCTCTCTCTCTCTCTCTCTCTCTCTCTCTCTCTTGCTCTTGTTTCCGCGGACGCGCTCTCGATGAAGCTTGATTGGAAAGGCACTTTCGCATCAGCTCAGTGCGTGACGCAACGCTAACGAACGCGCACTTCTTTGGGGGTTGCCGGGTCGACAAGCGCGGGATTTCACCCCATCACGCAACTTACGTTTCCTATTCTCGATTAGGAGGCTCATTTTCGTGTTCGGGATATTATCATGATTGTATGAGACAATCAGCGTTAATTGCGATAATTTTACAGTGACAAGTCAACGGTGCGTAACGTACTTAAAGAGATTTCGGCCATGTCTCTGATCGCGTTTGTCGACGATGTGAGAATTGTTCCGCGATTACCCGACTCATCCCTCTGACATGGAGCTTTCAAAGTTCTAAAGAAGAGCGGATTTTGATAGACTCTGAGATGTACAATTAATAAACGATTTAGTGACTTACTGAAGTTACCGATCAAATCTCGAAACCTTCGGAGTCCCTCCTGCGAATTCGCATCTGCTTTGGCGCGATAAATCCTCGACTGAACTTAAGAATCCTTTAATTAAGCCGGAATCAGCACGATATCACCTTAGCGCTTCTCCACTCCGATCCTCATTACTCGATTTTAACTGATTAAACGGTAGCCAAGTCCGCGAAGCGGACGCGGGGCGGGGGATTCCGCTTTCGCAAATTTCACCAAATTTAAATTCCGAATTTCAGCGTTCAGTGCTGCGACCACACACCGCCACGTGCTACGACAAGTCGCCGACGTATGACATTTGTCGAGGCGGGAGTGCCGATCGCGCGCTTTGCGAGGCCAAGCGCAATCGCGATCCTGTGCCGGGCGCGAAATGCGCGCTGCGACGAGTTGACAGCTGTCAGTTCGACTCGGCCGGCGTGTTTGCGCGCGCTAAGACGACGGGACAAACAGCGTTTACTGTTGCGTGTACCTGAGGCTGAATGAGAGGCGGTGCGACGCATGCCACGATGCGATTCCGCAACGGGTTCTCGTATCCCGCGAGACCGCGCGACCCTGTCGTCGTCGTCGTCGGCCCCCTTGCCAGCGGAGAGTGCGCGCGAAACGTGACCGAAGGCCGCGGCTGAAGATGTCCGCGTCCCTTGTGTTCCCGAGCGATCAGCGCGGAAAAAATCTCGAGCTTCTGCGCGGCACCGAGCGCGCGAGAAGGAGACATCGCTGCTACCTCGACTCGACCTGGTCCCGGCGAACGAAACGTGTCGGAAGCGACTCGACCGGCCGACCAACGCGCCGACGGCAGCGACGACCGAGGAACCTTGAGGTAAGGCATCGTCACGGAGCCCGCGCAGCTGAAATATCGATGCTGGACACAGCGCGGAGGGAGTGTCTGTTATTCGCGTGTATACACGCGTGTACATGTATATTGTGAAAAAAAGGAACAAGTTCCGTCGCGGGTCTTGAGTCGAGTTAAACGAACTCGATTTTCGAAGTCGTGTACAATAAATATGTACCAAACAAATAAATATTCGTGATTGAGGGCAACTTTTGACGAATTGTAATCAATGATTAATCGGCGGAATTGTCGATGGCAATTCCCAGCTGTGTAATTTCTTCCAACAATAATAAACAAACTAATAATTCTGTACACGTCGAAGATGTGAAGAAGTATCTAAGGAATGAAATATTATTCTCTCAGTGGGTACTCTAATAACATACTTAAAAACTATATAAGTGAACATGTTATATTAGTACTCATTAAATATTTTTAATTTCTTAAATATTCTTTCTCTCGATGTAATAGGTAATTTTGGATTCTTCGAGTTAAGTAACGATTAGATTTTTATGCCGTTATAGCTTTATGAAATAATGTATGCTAAAGATGGCGAAAGATCATAGATCAAAACGGTACACACTCCGTTGTCTTATAAAATTATAACAACATGCGCGAATGCAATCTCGTTTTATTTTATTTGAAAAATCCGATATACTTATTACACAACTCAATAGTTGCATGTCAGCGAAATGGAGCAGTTTCTGATTAATTACTAGCAATTTTTCATCAATCTCCTCGTGAATATAACTTGTAAAGAGAGAACAAGATAATTTTCTTACACAGATTTTAACAACGAATTGTGTTTAATTTTCCTCATTTGCAATTCTGCCGGCTGGGTTAATGGTCAATCAGCTTAACCAGAATTTGAGAGTTCCCCCAATTTCTTGAGCAATTTTCGTGCTCTTTTAATTTCTTGGATCGTGTAAAACGAGTTAAAAACTTAGTTTAACGACATAATTATAAAGCTGACCTAACAGATTATTGGTCCTACTTGTCGTTTGATTTGCTTAATCTCTTCCACTGGAGGTGAAATTACTCGCGTTATGCAGTTAGATTAATATTTTTGGTGATTGAAGAAACGTGTATGTCATACATAAAACTACGTTTCAGTGTCGTCAGTCCTCTACTAGTTGATTAAATTTTGCAATTCAAATCCCGACGTCAAAAATTGCTGATCTCCGACTCGAACAACAAAATTTGCGCAATTCTGAAACTGGACTCTTTTGAACCAGGTTTTCGACGTACAATGCACGCTCGCTCGTATCTCTTCGTCGCTTCTCATGCGATATCAATCGATATCTCTTATCTTAGCGCGCGCATCCGAGATCCGACCGTCCCGAAACGACGAACATCGTCGTCGTGGATCGCGTACACGCATCGACTGTGCCGATTAATTCGACAAGCGACAAGGCGTGCATCGTATCGATCGTGCCGAATGCGGATGTACCAACGTACAACAATTGTATTGTCGAACGCTCGAAAAATTCGATTAATTGCGCGGGGTCAGAGCGGATGGACGAATTCTATTTTTCACCGCGTTTTACCTGAAATTTATTCTCTCTCGTCATCTATTCCCCCCTCCCCCTTGCCTCTTTCAATTGCGAGCTCCACTCTCATCACTTTATTTACTTCTATTCTGCTAAAAAATTGTCATCTGTTTCTCAAAATTCTCTCACTTGCATGGAAAAACATGTCTGGTTGAATTGACCTGACAATGAACGAGCCAAACGCGTCTTGATTGCGAAAAACAGAATTTCTGAGTATCGATCTAGTATCTTTTTTTGGTTGATCGATACCTGCGGTTGTTGTGAAACCAATTCGATTCCAAGAGAGATATTCATAATCGGATTTTAGATTTCAGATCATCTAAAGTTCATCTTCAAACTGCGCAGTCAATGAAACACACAACATCTGAAGATGAATTAAATATAAATATTATAATTATAACATTGTCGAAATTCAATACTTTAAAAATTCCTCCCAAAATTATACATAGCTTCTTATTTTTTTATTTTTCTTATTTTGAGCACACGACAATGAGCTTTTCTTAAATTTGTGATTAGTATTTCAAGATTGTTACCAAAAAGATGTTCTTCGTTGAAGATAATAATTATTTAAAAGGACGAAAATAAATTGAATAATCGCTTTTTTTGGCAGAGCAGAATGGTATCTTTCTGTGTGTATAAAGTTACTCTGACGAAAGAGACAGCGTGTGAGCATAGATTTCTCTATGCCCGCCGCATATCTCGAGAACGAAGATGTCTCGACGCTTTCATCGACGAAAGATCGAATTGATCTAACGATCCTCCCGACTGGGGGAGATCTGGGACACATGCTGCATAATGTACAGATCACCAGCAGCGCCGGCGAGCTATCGCGTCTCTCGATAATATCTACGTAATATCCGCGTAATATCTCGATAATGCCTAACTGGATGTTAGTGGCAGTTTGGCATCGCGCAGATGGAAATTTCACTCTGTTTCCCTCATCCGTTCGTTCACATCGGCGAAAAAAATTAGCTGGCGGAAGTGTAAATCGACGCGATGTCTATTTATCCTGAAGAAGTTTGAAACAGAAATTAGAAATCAGATGCAGTGTATGCTTTAATACTATTCGTTATTATTGTTGAAGCTTAATTTATTCAACGTTCTGAGAGACAAATTCCCTCGAACGCAGAACGCCATGTAAGTGCAATTCATTCTTTTTTCCTTTATTCTTTATTTACGGAAATAATCTCCCTCTGGTTCATTAAATTTTGTATAAACAACGACAGGAAGAAATAAACAAAAAAAAAGAACACGCACATTTATGGGGAGATAATATGAGAAAAGAGGACATAGAATATATAAATAAATGTAGAAATATACAAAGATGCATGCTAAGGAACTGCTAGCAAGTCTATCGTTGCATCAACACTACCAAAAGTTTACATTGTTGCAGTAAATTTCGATAATTTTTTCGGATTTCTTTCATATTTCTATTTCATCATCTTGTGTGATAAATATACTATATGATCTACTCATATAAGGGATGCAATCTTCTCAAGTCGAGCAATAAAGTTGCTATCAAAGTTGCTGTCAAGTTTGTATGCACCTGTCTATCTTTAAGGGATAAACTCTCCCCCTTTTTTAATTTATTTTCTCCTCCTTTCTGGTTCACGTTAAACTCGCGCAATACGGTCTTAATGTCGCGGAGTCGGCGGGTGTCGGAGCGACGGCGGGTGAGTCGAGTTATTTCGTGTACAAAGTCGCAGCGGCTGAAATAATCGTGTATCCGCGTCCGCGGCCGCGTTCGACCTGTGCGCGACGATCGATTTTCGATGTGGCTGACATAAATGTTGATGTGCCGCCTCTCTACCTTGAAACTCATTATTGCTCATAGCTATTTTCATTATGATTTAGTCGCCGAGAATAAACCCCGCCGCGATTCGCCGGTGCGATTTATACCGCGTCGGACTCGCTCCGCGAACGATTTTTTGCTCGACGATACGGAATGATTCGCGGGAAGTTACGGACGGAATTTCAATTGCACGGAGAAAAAGATCGGTTGAATCAATGTGAACGAAGTCAATGTGTGTTGCTTCAAGGTAACAGAGTTCCTGCTTCTTACTAAGCGAATTTAGTTCCATGATGATATAAAAATATACAATATTTAGTTAAATCAAAATTCTTTTTTTCAAATAGAATAAATAATGACTTTCATGAAAAGCAATATGGTTTTAGCAAAATATATATTTTCTCATTTTAAAGGAATTTTTTCATTGCAAAAAAATAAACAGATAACAGGAAGAAGTAAAAAAAAAAGAAATACGCACCTTTATGAGGAGATAATATGAAAAAAGAGAAAATAGAATAAATAAATAAATGTAGAAATATAAAAATGCGTAAGAAGGAATTGCTAGTAAATCTATTGCTACATCAATACTATTAAAAGTTTACATTATTGTAGTAAATTTCGATGATTTTTCTCGAATTTCTTTCATATTTTTAAAATATTATTTTTAAAATAAAAATATTAATATAAATAAATTATTATATATATTAATATTGGTACCTATCAAATATATATTTTTATTTTTTGGATATTTCTTCTCTCAGTATATGTTAACAAAATAGAGCAGTTTTTAAATAACTGACAGTAGTTTTAATTTATTTCTTCACACAAATATAAATTATAAAGAGAGAATACAAGAATCTTCTTGCTTATTTTAACACACTGTGTTTTACATTCCATATTTATAATTCTGCCGGCTAAGTTATATATAATGAACGTTCAAACTTAGACTTTTCACCACCGTTTTTAAATTTTAACCTGAGTTTAAGTCTTTGTCTCTAAAGACAATTTAAACTCAGGTTAAAACTTTGGTGAAACTGGACATTAATCAAAACTTCATGAAAGTCATTGTCTCAATACTTTGAGCAAATTTTCGTTTTCTGTTGATCTCTTGGTTTGTTATAATACGATTCTAAGAACCAGAAATTTTATTTCCTTCAACCGAAACGCGTTTGGTTCGTTCACACGCTGCGAATCCAAGTGTGTTATTTTCAAATGCAGAAGAATTTTTGAGCTGAAGCTCTTTTTACACATTTCTTATAGTTTTAAGTCATGTCATTTAATACGTTTAAGACGTATAAATTAATATGTTTAAATGTGTTAAATGACGTAAAACGATAAGAAACATGTAAAAAGAGATTCAGCCAAAATGATACACTTGGATTTGCAGCGCAGTCACGTTGATTCAACCAATCTTTTTTACTCTGTGTGTAACGTTATATCTCGGATCCGGAGTGTATATAAAGGACGAATCTTCTCGGTCGATCGCGTCGCTAAATAAATTAGCAATCATCATTGCTATGGGAATAACGGGACGTTAGATTATGAATTTTATCCGCTCTCTGTATTAATATAATTTATCCTTTTCATATTGATGCAATCGACGAGGGATCATGCCGGCCAGATAATTCGCGGCTAAATTAAATGCGATACGGGAAAATCGTTTCGCCTTTGAAATTTTCATAAAGTTAACGGTGTCGTCGCACGAATATCCACTGTCAAAGGCGTCGCGACGTCACTCTATCTATCTCCTTCCCCCCCTCTATCTCTCTGCCGCTATCCTTTCCTCCCTCCCTTTCTCACGATCTCTTTCTGCATTCTGCTTCACGTAACATGTACGATGCACGCTCGAATACGCCCGTATACGCGGTAAATAGTAGACTAAACGTAATAATAGAGTCGTGCTTTTCCTAAACAGAGAGAGTTAGAAAGAGTGAAAGAGATGAAGACGCGTGTTTTAATGTTGTGAAGTTTCGCGTCTTATTACAAAATGACAGATCATGATAGCCGATGCCAGTAATTTCGCAGCATAAAGTTGAAAACATCAGAAGACACACACAGACGCACACACTCTCTTACTTTCTCTCTTCCTCTCTCTTTCTACCTCGCATTAAACATAATTTTTAGATTTGATGTAAGCTCAATAGAATTTTCTAAAGCAAAATAGAATTTTTAATAATTGTACTTACACTGAGAAAAGAAATGTGTAAAAAATAAAATATATTTGTTCTAATAACACATATTTCCTTAAATCTAAATTTTCTCATTTAAATAGTATAAACAATCGCTTTCATGAAAAGTTAAGGTTTTAAAAAAATGTATATTTTTTTATCTACAAAAAATATTTTATGTTAGTACGAATAAGTACGTTATGTGTCTATTAGTACCTACTGAATATATATATTTTATTTCTCAGACTTTTCTTTCAGCGTATAGATTTTTTTAATTCTACAAGTACTACAAACACTTTAGCACTTTCATCCAGTAATTTTGTACTGTTTTTACTAATTATTATAGTGCTTTATATAGAATTTAATAGAACATAATAGTTGTATTTGGCTGTAGTTATGCAAGATCTAATCCACATAGAATGCATTTCGAGAAAAATGAAAATGAAGATTTGATATATCCCACACAGCACAGAAGTTCCAAAAAGCTTTCAGAAAGATTTCAGGAAGATTTCAAAAAGGTTCAATGTTTCTGACACCTTTCTGATAGCTTTTTGAAATTTCTGTACTGCGTGGGATGATTCAGAAAATATAAATAGCGCTTCACAATCGTCCAAGAAGTCAAGTATGGTCAATTTTCTTCTTTTTAATTGTAATCATTGACAAGCTTAATCTTTAAAAAAGACGCAATTAGTAAAAATGACGCAAATAGTAGAGAATGAAAACTGTCTTTTAATTTTAGATGCCTATAAGATTTAGATCTTTTTTGTTTTAAATAGATGAACATACAGACTACTCATTGTTGACAAAGAATTTAAAATAATTTTGTGGGTTGGATTATTCTTGCATAATTGATTATTCTTGCTAATTGATATACAATTAAAAAGTGACGATAAATAATTTCTTACATATAAAATACATATGAAATACGACGAGAACGGATAATGTCTATTCTTTCATTTTTTATTTTAGTCAACATGTCATCAACGTTATTTAATTTCCTGTAGAGAGAGTTTTCCGATTAATTCCGAAACCTTATTTACATGTTGGGTCGCGCGAAAAAAGAAATGTAGCAGTCGTCGGTCGTCCCGCACATGTCCGTCGGATTACCAACAGAAATATCACGAAGCCATTTAACGCACACAACGATTTGCTAACGAGTTCACCTCCCTTAAAATTCGCGCCGTGCAAACTTCCAAGTCTCGTGCATTATTCACTCGCGTTCGCGCGACTTCTTATTACGACGCCTGAGTTTGGCCGCGTTTTACACGGCTGTAAATTTTCATCCCTCGAATCCTATTACCACCGACGTCGTCGTCGTCGTATTTGAACGAGAAGTTGCATACCTGTGCGATCGCCGTTCTCCATTCGCGGTTAGAGTGATTTGGAGATTACTTTCTCGCACCCTCGCAAAGTGGTCCGTTTTTGTGAATGACATCCTGCAACGACACACAGAATGCACATAAGTATTTATGATTCAGCAGATATAGGATTCAAACTTTTAGAACTTTCATAGCATTCGCGGTTTTGACTGCCCGGATTCGAAGGTTACGTTCTCACGTCCCGCAAAGTGTCGTCTCTGCGAATAGTATTCTGTTGCAACACATAGAATACCTATAATTGTCTATGAATAACCGATTCTCAATTCCTACTCAACTTTCATACCGTTATTTCTATCCAGAGTTGTAAAAATATCAATTAAATTCGCCTCAATTTAACAATTAATTTGAGTAAATAATTTCTAATTTAATTAATTGATTAATATAAGCCTATTCAATTAAAAATATTTTAATTAACCACTGACTTCAAGAAATCTAATTAAAAAACATTCAATTAACGATTGATCTGAAAGAATTTAATTAAAAACTGTTGAATTAACGATTAAAACGAGCGACAGTAATTAAAAATTATTCGATTAACGATTGAAATAGTCAAAGTAATTAAGGGTTATTTAATTGATAATTAATTTAAGCAAATTTAATTGAAAAGCGCAGTAAAACGATTGACCAATCGATGTCAATTGAATTCAACAGTTTTTAATTGAATTCCTCCAAATCAATCGTTAGTCGAATGATTTTTAATTAGTTTTCTTGAAGTCAGTAGTTAAAATATTTTTAATTGAATAGGCTTATATTAATCGTCAATTAAATTCGATAATTAATTAAAAAAGTGATTAATTACTCGCAATTCTGTTTCTATCTCACGTATTCGAATAAATATAACTCACCTCTCACAAGCGCAAAGCGTCCTATTGACCGCCTAGTCGCGCACTGAGCTGCTAACTGCGCGCCGATTGAGCGCACTCTGCCGTTCGATTGCAGAATATCGATCGATATCGATGATCGATATCGATGGTCCATAATTATCGCGATTTCCGACGTCGCGCTCGACGCGAGAGTTCGGAAATTGGCGCGGAATATGGCGACTCGCGGAATACTCGCGACGGATTTCACCACTTTCCCATCTTCCACACGATTTTCACGAGTCGACACGCAGCCGATGTCACGGAGTTAATTCTTGCTCGCGTCCGCGATGTTCGCCCAAGCGCGGATATGGTGATTAGCGACATTGGCGCTTGACGTTTGGCGGACGCGCTAAGTAGTGCGGCTCGATGCTCGATCGGACGCGACGGAGGCAGCACGAAATAGTTCCGTGAGATCAAATAAATATTTACTATTATTTAGATGTTTTATCTCTCAGTGTAGTTAAATTCAGTATTCGCCAAAATGTGGCAAACTAAGGCTTATATTAATAGATAATTAATAATTGATTAACAATGACTTGTGACTTGTCTCACATGAGATACTTTTATTGAATTTGGAGTTAGATCTGAGCTTTTCAGTTGGATCATGTCATGTACATGTACATGATATTGTATTTGTAATTGTAAATGAACTGAAAAGATCATATTCTAAACTAAAATTCGAATTTTTCACGTGGGACAAATCTCAAGTAATGACTACTGGCAAGATAAAAGTATCAATGCTCGAATCACGTACCTAATCCTGAGCACTCTTATTGTTTTGGTTTTTAAATATATATATTTAAATCTTTAATATAGAACACATATATGTATTCGATATATATATGTATATATATATTTTTTTTTTATGTTGATAGTTTAAATATTCGTATTTAAAGACCAAAACAGTAAGAATATCTAGGATTAGGTACGTGTCCGAGGATTGGTATTTTTACCTTGAAAGCCTAAATGATCTGATCCTTTTTAGTGAAATATTCATGTTCTCTTAACCTGTCTTGTTTGTGTATGAAATATATAATATATAAAATATGTGAATCACATGCTACAAATTTGTAATTTAACGAGGCTATTATAAAACCGACTTATTAACTGCGTTATTAATCGCATTTATATCGTGATAATTTACTTAATTTTTTATCAGAATGAGCGAATTACAGATATCACATAGTTAGATCAACCTCCTGATAGTCGGGAGATCATTTTACATAATATACAAAATATACCATGTTTTATTTTTTTTAAACATTCATCGTCGGCTGCAATCGTTGACTGCAGTTTTGCAGCTCGTATTCTCACGTCGGATCGTCAATCTATCCCGATTGTGCTTCGATTCGGCTCGCGATTGCAGTTCGTGCAAGAAAATTGCGTAACCAGAGGCTCGACTTTTTTTATCTACCCGAATCTCTTTTTATTTCAATATTTTTTCTCCAATGTGCAGATCCCACGGAGCGTGATGTTGCTATTTTGATATTCCCCAACGTTGTTTTGCAATATGCGCGTGCGCGAATGACGCCCATTTGTGTAGCGAGAAAGAGCCAACAATCACGTTACACTTACGTTCCGGGAAACATAGCCCGGCGTGATAATTAGCCGCGAGTTCTTTCTTTCTTTTTCAGCCTCTCGCGTGAGAGGATCGCGCCAAATTATCCGCGCGGCGATTTCTCCTCACGCGATGAAGCGGACGGCGTCCGTGCGTAACAAAACGCGCCCGGTATTCTCTCGCGCTCTTTTTTTTTCCTCTCTTTCTCTCTCCCCCTTCCTCAACTCTTTTTTCCCGTTCCTCTCTCCACTTGTGTCCCTTTTGTTTCCTTTCTCACCGCGCTCATCGAGATTGTCGCCGACCAGCCTGCCGTCCGTCCATTGGATTTTGCAGAACGGCTTTAAAATTTCAACGGCAACGCTTCGCGAATATAATTGCAATGCGCGAAGCAGCGTCTGTCGCGAATAAAAATTTTACCCATACACATACACGCACACACACATACGACAATCTCGCGTTTTGCAATAATAAGTTTCGAAGGTCGTAATTCCGTCCCGTATCCCCACGCTCTTACTCCGGTAATGTCAGAGTTTACCCGGGGAAACGTCCCACCGAGATACTTTCCCCTTGGGGGGGAAATCGTTAATCTCCGGGAAAACGTGTCCTTCGATCGTCGCCGTGGCCCGGGGAGTCGCAAGCGACTGATTAGCTGAAATTCGTAATAAATAATAACGACGTGGATTTATTATTCAGAGCGCACGAACAACTCAGAGTTAAAAATGCACAGATGCGACGAGAGAGAGATAGAACGCGCGCGCACAAGAGAGAGAGAGAGAGAGAGAGAGAGGGGAGAGGGAGAATGGAAAATTATACGGAGCTTGTTCAGGAAGATTGCGTCGCACGGTCGTCAGTGAAATTTTATAATGCACCCGTTGTTTCCATTGTCTTTTTATAACTGCGACCGGGCAGCGGCGTTATTATTGCGCGCATGCTGTATCATTCGTGCGAGAACGACGGCCGAAATTTACGACATCGTTGCGCAAACATACGCGCGACCATACATTTTCTCTGGAGCGACTTCAAACATATTCTTCTGAATGTACACGCGTGTAACGAAAGGGAAATAAAAAGAAGAGAAGAAAACAAGAAAACACGCTGCTTATTAGCGAGCAAACGTCCGACGATTGACGAGATGTTATTCCACCAGCCGACTAGAAATTTATTCCACGGTTATTATCAGCTTAATTTCAACCAGTGTTTGCTTTGTATAAGGTAATGTTATCTTAATTGTTAATAAAGTTCTGATTATTAATAATGCTTATTACTTACAAGGAGTCGCGCTGCACTGAGAAAAGAATACTTGGAAATTTATTTGCGAGATACAAAGTTTATCTCTGCGAAATAAACTTTATATTCCACAAATAAATTTACAAGTATTTTTTCTTTAATGCGCGATATAAATAAGAGAGAAATACTTGGAAATTTATTTGTGGAATATAAAGTTTATTTCTGCAAAATGTAAAATTTATTTTTGTATAAAAAAAATTTATATCCCACAGATAAATTTATAAGTATTTCTTTCCTCAGTCACTGAGAGAGAAACTATTCAGAAAACAAAAAATATTTATTCGATAAATATTTATTTTATATATTTATATAACCCTAACATACATTGAGAAGAAACTTTTGAAAATTTGCAGAATATAAAGTTTATTCCCGTAGAATAAAATTTATTTCTGTGAAACAAAGTTTATTTCTATGAATACACTTTACGTCCCACAAATAGATTTCCAAGTATTTTCTTTTCAGTGTATTTATTTATATTAATATATATATATTTTTGTACTAAGAAAACAATATTTTTCAAATAAAAAGATATATACATCATATTAAATCTTTAGCTTCTCATAAAAAACAATTGTTTATTCTACTTAAATAAAAGCATTTAGTTTGAAGTAAACGTGTTATTAGTACCCACTGAATAAATATTTTTTATCTTTTAGACACTTTTCTCTCAGCGTAGATGACTTATTAGAATTTGGTAACATTACTCCCAAAGCAAAAAAACTGATTGGAATTACGGGATAAATTTCTAGTCGGGTACATCGACATAATTGATTCGGATCTGGAACATCCTGTGCTTGGGCGGTCGGGGTGGCGGTCTATAAATTTCGCGAGCGAGCGAGAAATATTTCGGTCGCAAATAAATATACCGTCCGATTTTAATCCGGGTTGTACCGAAATAGAGGGGCCGATGAAGGATCGCCTAGGTGAGTCTTGGTGTATAAGGAAAGGGACGTCACTATGATGCACAGGCTGTCCAGTTGTCGCGGCATTACTCTTCAACAATCTCCGGCTGATTTAGGAAACAATCTTTCTTTTAGCGAAAGAGTATTGAATGGTAATTTTTAAATTTTAAGCTTCCACGGCAGAAAATTAATGTACTGAATTTCTCGCGCGCGCGCGCGCGTGTGTGTGTGTGTGTGAGAGAGAGAGAGAGAGAGACAGAGAGAGAAAGAGAGCCTGACAAACATTATAATCTCATTACACTCATTAATTCTGTTAGAGTTAACTTTAACGAAGAATTTGGAGAGAGACTCGCCTGTGGAAATATTTAACGCCACGAATTGGCAAATCGCGTGACAAATTGGCAAATTGAGAGATCGGCTCCACGTTGCTCGGAAAACCCACCGTTGCAAAATAACGAAGTCAGACTCCTTATACACTCCGTTCGCGTTTCAGCACTTTGCCGCATTTGAAGTACCGTGTGGGTGTGTGTGCCCTTGCTTCCCCCCCAGTTCTTATATTTGTGAAATTATTTTTATAAAACGGACGTGCGCCTTCGTAAATTTATTTCGAGAATTGATCGATGCTGACAAGTGTGGTAAAACGCTGTGCTATAATGTGGAATGAAACTAGGGGGAAAAGTAAGACGATCTTGCAATTAGTGTCAATCTTATAGGGGATTAACGTCAAGGCTCCGGCAAGATGAATAACAGCGATAAAAGTACGAAATATAACGAAAATGGAACGTTAATATAACTGCGATGGATCGATGAAACGTTTCTTGTGTGTACATGAACGATACTGACACTAAATCAGTGTAAAGAACCCGAGATCTATTATTAGATAAATAACAGTAATGACTTAATTACATGTGTAACATTCAAGCATATTTATTTAGTAGCTTCCTTTAAATAAATTTTCGAATATTGTTGCTTCCTTTGCTTGAGAAAGCACAATTGAAACCCTCTTAACCCATTAAGGCCCAAGAGAAAACCGCTAAGGATAGGCTTTCAAAAACCATCTAAATTAGGACAAAACATCGAAATTTGTTAAAAAGTGAAAAAAAATTTGTGTTGGATTTCAAAATTCAAGATGGCTCAATCCCCCCCATTTTCATTCAAATAGGTCAAAATTTCAAATTTTCGAGCCGACATATTGGTCCGCCATCTTAAATTTTGAAATCTAACATAAATTTTTTTTTTCACTTTTTAACAAATTTCGATGTTTTGTCCTAATTTAGATGGTTTTTGAAAGCCTATCCTTAGCGGTTTTCTCTTGAGCCTTAATGGTTTAATACAACATTAATATAACTATAATCAATAAATGTTTTGTGTATATAAGAAAGAAAAATATTGACACTAATTATAAAGATTTCGACAAGATGAACAGTCGCAAGAAAAGTACGGAATATAACGAGAGTGGAGCATTAATATAATATTAATGTAACCGTGGTAGAGAGATCAATAAAAGTTTTCCCCCGTGTGTGTGCACGTAGGTGTATGCGCGATATTGACACTAATTGTAAAATTAGATTGCCTTCTCCCACCGTTCCCTGCGCTGCAATTCAAACAGCACATCTAGACGGAAAATCTGAACGTCGATCATAGCGACCGCGAATCGCGGAAAATCGGGATGTGGGCAAATGTAGCGGATTAAATTAAATCTATTGTAAACGTCAAACGCCAAACGCGCCAGGTAATCGGCGATTCTCGCGTCGCGCGATACGCTTTCGCCGACACGCGCATTTATTCCGCGCGTCTGCGCGTCGAACTGAATTATTACACGCTTCTCATTTCTCGCGCATTAATATTATTATATTATTATTTAATGCTATTTATACACACGTCGTCATCGTTAACGTTATTTGTACGTCGCCCGGCGTTGATGATTAAATTTTCACTGGGGGTATTATTTCGCGTGACGTTGTAATAAACGGATTCCGAGGTCGCAAGTTCGCCTGGCCGCGTCGCGGTGCGTTAATCTGCGTTTGTTGCCACTATTGCGGCCGATGTGCACGAATGCCGCGAGCGTTTCAGAGCAAAAGGGGCTAATTCGCTCTTAAGCGATGCAGCTCAAAGGACAGCACCTGTTTTTCGCGTAAAGTTACAAATACGTAAAGTTTTATAAATGAAACAATTACTGTTCTCCCATTCGTTTACTTCGTTATCGGGAAATATTTTTCTTTGGTAGACATCACAACGCGGAAGAGAGAATATTATAATTTTCTCTTTACAAATTTTCTTTTCAATTCTACTGTTTCTAGCACTGCAGAAGTAAACTGTGAGTGTTGCTAAAGAACATTATATAATAAATTTCGCTCGAAGGGTGGTCAACTTTTTAATAGCATTTCAATTTCTAAGATATAAATAGGTCATATGAAATGAAAGGATAATAAGTTGTAACTGCAGAGTGTCAATCTACTCCTCGGTTACACAATTTTAGAGTAATTTTTACTGTCTATGTTTGTACTTGTAAAATATATATAAAATATTATATTTTACATTTATAGTAATTTTTCCTCTTAAATTTCTCTTCGCGCGAGTATTCCAGGTGGAAAGAGGAAATGCTTTTCTATGACATTTTGACTTATTTTTCTTTCTCGCGGATTTGACGGTGCGCGTTTCGCCAGGCCTCGTACGTGTACGCATTAGACCGGTATTGTTGCGTCTCGTTATTCGCGCGCGTGCTCGATGCGATGTTCCTGTGCAAATTCAATTTCGGCTGTTCAGTGTGCGGGCTAGAGGTATATTTACCACGTGGTAAATAGTGCACGATGAATCAACGGCCTTTTAACGCGAGTTATATACGCACACTTCATCAAAATATATCCAAATACGCCGAGTGCGAATAATACAGGTCATTTCGAGTATTTAAAACAAGGAGGGCGTTTAATTCAGTCGCGCGCGAGTTCATATAAAATCCAAACGTGTGAAAAGTTCCCTGTAATTTAATTGGAATCCACACACCCGAAAAAATTATGCATGGAGAATCTGTTAAATAGAACATGAGAAGTTAATAGCGTACATTAACCGCAATATACTTTCACTATTACATAGTGATTAAGACTAACGTAATGATAACAAATATTTTAGCAGTACGAAAACTCGAATAAAAATATAATTTTGCATTTTTGATTTTATATGGAAAATCTAAACGTAACGTTTCCCCAAAAAAATATTTTTGGTTCGAAAAATAAATTTAAGTTGTGAAAAGAATTTAAGTTGAGAAGAAAACTTGTCTTATTTTTATTGCATTAATAAAAAAATAAATATAGAAGTATTGTTGTATATTATTTGTAACTAATTATATGCTAATTTAATGTGAATTTAATTTCGTCAGAGTTAATATTTTTCCATAACTTTCAATAAAAGATATTTTTTTATTATTAATCTTAATCGATGTGTGATAGTTAAAGAATATTGCGTTTAATATACACTTATTAACTTTTATTTACTTTTATGGAATTTAATAGTTGGTATATACTTGGAATTATTAAACAGAGAGAGTATGTCGATTTTACCTGTTAAAAAATGTGAGAATTTTTAGTGCTGTAATTTTGATTTCAGATAGAAAATCGAGTTTGTGATAAAAACGCAGTTTCCAATTTTTAACACAATGATCTATTTTGAAACAAATTTTGACTGATTTCCGATCAGAATCTATGTTGTACCTGAGGAATTTTTGAGAAGGTATTACTAAAATTTAAATGACAAGATGGAGAGTCTCGTTTCGAGATTAATTCAAAGCCACGGCCGAAAGCCACGCCGGTGTCGAGATGCCGCTGGTCGATTTTTAATTAACCGACTTTAAAGCAAAGTCATGCATTACTGCGCAGAATAAGCAAAGAAGCGCGAGCGTTTCTTGCAACAATGAAATTATTGAAATTGACATCTCGAACCTGCTGTGTGTGCGCGGAGACGCCATTGAATTCTCTTAATTAACTAACTTAACTCGATAAAACATTGCTCAGCAAAAGAAGCTTGGTACGTTTCTACCAATAGTGAAATTAATGAAATTTCTATTCCTAATTAATTCTATAATGAAGCGGCTTTCACGAGAGTGGGGGCCAACCTTTCAATCCTAATTTTAAAATTCATATCACACACAAGAAAGCTCGCAAAATTTATCTATTTAAAAAAATATCGATTGTAATGTTCGAATATAAGGTTCAAATGAATGAACGACGTCTTCACAATTGAGAGCTGACGCCCTCGTCTCTTCCGCAGGTCACTATCGCGCGCAGAACTCGTTCGCAGAGCTCACGAGAAACCGGAGGTCGCGCGAGAATCTCATCACCTCGGCTCTAAGCGCATTCAGAAGAAAATCCAACGGATTCCACGCGCGCAGTCTACGCGATCCACGGACAATCAGTAGCGTAGCTCAAGAATCAAGTATACGAAGCGTCTACTCCAGCAGCCGACTACTACCACTGCTATTACTACTACTATTCAAGTCGAGACACTCACCTCAAGTACTCGCCCGAAGCAGACGCAGACCAGACGCTGGAGAGCAAACTAATCGTGGCTCACCATTCGAGATGCGTTCGCGGGCCTCATCGAGGCGCAGGCCGCGCGGCACCCTGAGCGAAGCCTCCATGTGCCAGGCGAGGGCACCTCGGAGCCCGCAGCTACAACGATCGTACACCTTGGAGATCGGCCATCGTCGCGACGCCGTCATCGACGTGACAAACGCGCAAGACACCGTCTGGGCCGAGTCGTAACCTCGCGAAGGGGAACATCTTCGATGGCCCGGCGATCAGCCTTCGTGGTTCGCGCCGGTGACGGGGAAGAAGACGAAGAAGTAGCCGATTGTCGTTGGACACGGTAGCCAGTGGCTGTTTGGCGGAAGTGAAAGCGCTTGCCGGAGTCTGCCCGTTCAAGATGCGCTTCAACGAGACGACGCTGTCGGAGGAGGAGACGTTGGACAATGCGACGGCGGAGCTGCCGGCTACAAGTCTGCTCGGCGAGCTGCTGGTCGGCGACACCGGTGGTCAGCGCGGCAACGCCAGTGAGAACCAGCGCGAGGTCGAGTACGTGTTACTGTTGACCGCCAAGGCGCTCGTCATGGGCTTCATCATTCTGTGCGCCTTGTTTGGCAACCTGCTGGTGATCGTGTCGGTGATGCGGCACCGGAAACTGCGCGTCATCACCAATTACTTCGTCGTGTCGCTCGCGCTGGCCGACATGCTGGTCGCGCTCTTCGCGATGACGTTCAACGCGTCGGTCGAGCTGTCGGGCGGCCGGTGGCTCTTCGGCTACTTTATGTGCGACGTGTGGAACTCGCTCGACGTGTTCTTCAGCACCGTCTCGATCCTCCACCTGTGCTGCATCAGCGTGGACCGTTACTACGCGATCGTGCAGCCGCTCGATTACCCGCTCATCATGACGAATCTGCGCCTCGGCACGATGCTGAGCGTCGTGTGGTGCTCGCCCACTGTCATGAGCTTCTTGCCCATCTTCGCCGGCTGGTACACCACGCAGGAGCACCTCGAGTACCGCCGCAACTATCCGGACGTCTGCGTGTTCCAGGTCAACAAGTTCTACGCGGTCATTAGCTCCAGCGTCAGCTTCTGGGTACCCGGCATCATCATGATCGCGATGTACTACAGGATCTACCGGGAGGCAGATCGTCAGGAGCGCATGCTGTATCGGTGAGTCGCTTGTCACCTTCTTCTCACGCATGAGCACTCTCCATTTCGCTATTGTGCGGTCTTTAGGCACGGAAACGCCATTCAAGTGGCTGCCTGAACGGTCGCTTAGGATAAAACGTTACAGTGGCTTCTTGCCAAATGATCTTCTATCGTTGCCAAACAGCAACGTTTGCTTACTTTTCTTAAAATCGTCAAGTTTCATATTAACTGTTACTTCATACCTCATGTTACTAACTGGATTATTTACTGTTACCACATAATCCAGATATACATTGCATTATGTATATGCCTATTGCACCTAAGATTATTTCCACAATTTTCATCTTTGCACAAATAAGCATTAGGTCGAAATTCGTGCAAGTAGCAGTAAATTTATATAAATGCGTAAGAAATTATAAACTTCTACTTCAAAATCGCACAAGTAATTCTGCTTACAACAGTAAGGAACACCCGACACAATGTATACGATGACACGCGTTCGTGGGCGAAGTTGCGCCTTCAGCTGAACCGTAGCTGAGAAGGTTAAGACCTCGGCTGCTCAATATGCTGATAGAATTTGCGATCGTGGCCGAATGAGCCAGCCCGTGAGCAGGTCTTGGCTCTGAATGGCTCGGCAAATTTGTAGTCGGGGCGAGACTGTAAGTGGATCTCGGCTTTTAACGTTTCGATAAATTCACGGTCGGTCCGGAGGAGACTGAGATGGAGTCCACCGTGTGGAAGGAGGCGGTGGTGTTGCGTAGGCAGACGCCGGCCTTTAATATCCCTCGGCACGGTAATTTGCAACACAGGCCCCCCCGGATTAGATTGCGAATGGATCTCTCGGCTTTTAATAACACGATGCAATTTGCAGCCGATCTAAATAAGGTGCAGGCGCGAATCTCGCCTCTAAATATCCCGCTCTCTTGCACTCGCGATCGATCCTGACAAGAGAGAGAGAGAGAGAGAGAGAGAGAGAGAGAGGGAGAGAGGGAGGGAAGGGGAGACTGTACAGGCAGATTTAAATCGGATTTTAATCATCCCAAAGGCTGCAGCGAGTCAATCCTGTTTTCCGACGCGTATCGATATATCGGCGGATCGTAAGCGGATTTTGCCATCTAATATTTCGATAAATCCGCGACCGGTCCAGCCGGCACCAAATCGATAGATATCTCAGCATTTACTACCTGTTAATATCGAATCCGCGACCGGGTCTGGATTCAGATTTGTGAGCGAATTCGCCCGGATTCACTGGCCTCGGCTTGGAGAAGAATGGCGAAGTATTATTTTCGAGTGCTTCCTTCCGAAAGGGAGACGGAGGGTGGAAGGGAAGGGGAAAGGAGAGAAGTACATTTGTTCGTCGGCCACTCGTCTACCTTCCTTCGCGCCTTTTACCCTAATTGGACATTCAAGAATGGCACGGGGCCGTTTTCGTCCGCTTCTTGGACGAAAGCACTCCTTTCGGGAGAGACTAATGGCGAGTGCTCGCTCTCCCTCTCTCTTTCTTTCTCTCGCTTTCTTCTGCTCGCCGTCGAACCCGACGCTGTGCGCTTTCAGAGATTTAACAACGTATCGTCCGGTGCCATTGTAGTGACACGCTAACAGCCCCCGCCATTTGAAACGGGCCTGGGAACGCCGTGATGTCTCGTTTATCGCGCGAAGTTGCCGAAAAATTAATCCCTCCACGTCGCGCAATTATTCTACCTCGCGTCGAATCGGCCGATCTCGTCTTCGTGCACGCAGTCTCCGACATTAATTACTCGGCGAAGCGCGTCGCGATCTCGAGAGTGACAGTGGTCTCGTCTCTTCCCTACCTCCGCCTCAATCTGTCTCTCAAGTTTAATTGTACGAATAATTGGAAGCGGACGACTGACCTCAGCGTCAAGCGTCGCGTATACAACGGCATTCGCTTTTGTGCTTCTGTGTGCGCGAAAGAGCTAATGACATTTCGGATTGCAACGGCACGACACGACGACGTCGTCGACGAGTTCGACATCGCGAGCGCGCGCCAACCACTTCGCCTGGACGGAGAGGCCTCTCCAACGTAAACTGGAACGCGAAAATTATTCTTAAGACGCAGTTAAGGCCACTCGTTAGCGAGAGGCTCTTCGCAATTTCCCGGCGAGCTGTTTGGGAACGGGAGCGGAACTGGGAATCGATCAATCAGTAACGTGTATTAGACGTGCCGCACTCGTTACGCCACGGGCGAAAATGTGCGCGCACCTCGCGGACTATCCGCATCTTCCTCGCGAGAGACCGAGGAAAGAAGACTAAATGGCTGTACTTAAAAGAGACCGGAGAATTCGAGAGGACCGCTCTCTTGTTATTTAGAGAATGGATTATTAAATGCAGGGGAATAAAAAGGGCGGGACAGGAAAATAAACTAGAACGTCTATTAACACCTATTTAGGTGTATCTTGCAAGAACATAAAAATTAAAACGGGAAATTAGAAAATTAAAACGCAGACGGATCGAGAAGAGGGGAAGAGTGAAGAAAAAAACTACTAACATCCAAGATTATGTCTTCTAAGAATATAAAATTAGGAAATTAAAACATAGACAGTTTAGCGAGGGAAAGAAAGAATGAAAAATGAAAAGCTATTAATATTTTAAACTATATCCTCTAGGAATGCAAAAGCTAAAACGAAAATTTAGAAAATTAAAACGTAGACAGGTTTCTCTCGGAGAGAGAAAGAAAGAATTAAATAAAAAGCTATTAGTATTCTGAGCTGTATTCTCTAAGAATGGAAAAATTAAAACAAGAAATTAGAAAATTAAAACGTAGACAGGTTGAGAGAAGAGAAAAAGAATTAATTAAAAATCTGTTAATGTTTAAAGTTGTAATTTCTAAAAGCGTAAAAATTAGAACGAGAAATTAGGCAACTAAAATGTGTGTGTGTGTGTAGACAGAAGGAGATAGAATAAAATGAAGTGCTATTATCCTAAAAACTAATATCCTAAAGCTAATATCCTAAATTATATCCTCTAAGAATGTAAAAATTAGAAAATTAGAAGCTAAACGAAAAACATAAAAAAAAGAGTAAAAGAGAGAGGGAGGGAGAGAGAGAGAGAGCAAAGAAGACTGAAAATTTTCCGCGTAGCTTTGTATCGAAAATTTTCCACTTTTTCGAGTGGTCCACTTTTTAATTAAATAAGATGATTTGTAATATTTTTTTATATATTTTATATTATATACTTTTTTATTTCTTAATTGAGCGCTCAGACGTCTCAAAAACTCGTCGATACGCGCAGCACGATTTCAGGTTGCTCGTGCCGCGAGCGAAAAGGTTGACAATCGCGTCGCGTCTTTTGGGCTTCACGTCGAGCATCATTAGATTCTCCATCCGGGGTTTTTCATTCTGCCGCGACGAAAGCCGCGAATCGCCTTTGGCAACGCGATCACCTCTCTTTGAGAGCCGTCATCAGAGACATTCGCGTGTTCGTCTCACTCCGGCGCATCTCCGTCTCTCGCTTTTCGAGTCGATACGTGGAGATACGATATTTCTGCCTTGCATTCCCCCCTCTCGACGTCGCGCTTCTCTGTCTTGCAGGAAATACCGATGGCCTTGTCGCGAGCTCATTCACCAACGCGATCCTGTTTGATGCGGTAAAGCGCATTTCGCCGTGTGCGCGCGCGCGAGACAGAGAGAGAGAAACGTCATATCGCATATTTATTGTATGACACATTACGATGGTACAAGGTGCCTCGGCATCACATGGATGCGACGGATATTTCTGAGGTATCTCTAAGGTAGCCATCTTGTGAAATGTATTTCTTAGGGATTCGTCGTGACTTGAGCTGCACGTATCGATTGAAATGTCATATAACTGCTTGTGCAGTCATAAAAAAAGAAATCCGTCGTTCGGAAATCGAGATATTTACAATTGTAGTCCCACTGCGCATGCGCGTGAGAATCCGACTTTCTTACCAACGCTATGTTCGATCCAACTTTAAGAACGCGACTTTAGGATATTGGAAAATTATTTTGAAGGTTCTGGGCATGTTACTAACAAGTAAAAGTACCTATCCAAAAGTTACCGATTTCTTTCTAATTTGGCACAAATGTAGAAGTACAAAAAACATTTAGGTCATATTTTTTCATTTTGGCCCACTTTGAGTTTCACGGGCAGTTTATAGCTTTTTAATGTTCTCACTTCTATCATCAACAAGTACAACAAAAATGCATAAGAAATAAAATTGAATACAAGATATAGGCGTTTTTAATTTGCTGATTATGCATATGAAGTAAAATATATAAAATTATTTGTGTAAACAATAAAATGTTTAAACATGTAAAAAGTTGAAAAAATTATTTACACAAATAATTTCTCGGTTTGGCCGAGATTCGAATAATTTTTTATTTAGCACAGATTTGAAATATTTCGGTTGAAATCTCGGCTAAAGAAATTTAGAATAATTCGTGTCTCAGCTATGCCGATTTTGTTAAAATTATTTAACTATATCTTGTATTCAATTTTATTTCTTATGCATTTTTATTGTACTTGATGGTAGAAGTAAGAACATTAAAGTTGGCCAAAATAAAAAAATATAACTTAAATATTTTTTGTACTTCTACATTTGTGTAAAATTAGAAAAAAATCGGAGTGTACCTTTTGGATAGGTTTACTTGTAAGGGAGTAGATTTAGGAGTAGATTTACAACTCAAATTGTCAATCAGAAGACTGTGCTGAGCGAGATACACACACTTAACGTCATTTTTAAAAATACACGTGTTCAAATATAACTGTACCTTTTACATTAATATAATGCACAATTTAGAACCTTTTAACATTAATATAATGCACAACTTATAAAATATACATGTATATTCTATCTAATTTATGTTTGATTGCAAGACTAAAAGTTTCGATGGCATCGCGAGACAACTACTTAAGTCTCCTACTTGGGGAATTTTTCGAGACACTTTTTAATGATTCAGAAGTTTCATCTAGTAGTTTGCCGGGATCTCGGTATCTTCATTCGTCAATCGTTAAGTTTTCGTGTACACGCCGTGCAGATTACA